GGTTTTAGGGCTATCATCAGGGACATATAGGAAAGGTATCCTAGGTCTCTGATCACTTATCACAGTCTTGATTACCATGCTGGCTCCTGATCAGTAGAAATACCCCCTTTACATCAGATCTCAAATTTCCGCCCTATATCTAGTTGATCCTTAGCACAAGACACATATATGTGTGTACCACGCACTCACATGGTTCGGGCTCATCCCCATCCCCACCACACCTGATGAAAGACTCGCATATGAACGAAAAAGCATCCACACGCTCGAGAAACAACACTCAGAGACTGACAATCCTTTCGATTTGATCAACTTTCATTTTTTGGGACGGTATGAGATGGGGTATGCGAGGGAGATCAGGGGGGATGTTGTTAGGGCAAGGCCGGGATTGGGGGAAGTGCTTGCGATGTGGGATGATGAGTAGGATGAGAGGCGGTTTGCGATGTATGCTAAGAAGATGGAGAGTTTGTATGTTTCTGCGGGCGTTGAGAGACCGATACCGAACGATGTGGATGCGATGTAATTTGAGAGTGTTGACGTGACGTAGACTGAGCTATTGACAAACCTCCAGTTATCGACACGGTTCAAACTGCGAGCCGCCTAATACATTGTACTGTCTTAACTTTGACATGTCACTTGCTATACGTCAGGCAAGCACTCGCAGGTTGTAACAAGAACATGGCAAGTTATGTACCGCATGTACCACAGTTATCACAGATGCCAATTACTCACTGGGATTTTCGCCTGAACAACCAGGCTTACTGCCCACAACGGTCAAAGGTCACAGGGACAAGTTGGAATGTGAGTTAAACGAGCGACCTGTCGCACGTCTATGTTATTCTAAGAAACCGATAAGTACCGAACATGTCTCATAAGCAGGGCGCAGAGTTGAATATTCAGAAATCTGGTCTACCCTCGAGAGATGCCGGTACACTGATACAACTTCGAGAACGACTCTGTGACCACTTCAATGGGATGGGCACATCCCGCCTGAATCCTCCATCAACAAATGTACGCACTGTCAGCTGTCTTCGAACGGACCCCGACAGGAGTGTAGTAAGTGGGGTGTTCCCGAGCCTTGTCGGGGACCTGCAACTTGTCCGATGTGGAAATTCGGGGAAATACGTCCTGTGAAACTTTGACCTGTAACTCTGGGCGGTAGACTTGCGGGGGTCGGGCTTGTGAAGTGTGTGCGCTTCCATCGTGGTAATAACGCGCGTTCAGTAGAGCCATATAGGAGTTCACATATACTAAGGGCGTCGAATAAGCTTTCTGCGTGCAATACGGAGCTAACAAAGCGTACATTTGGACAGTAGCCACTCGATTGCAAGGTAGATGAGGTTGTTTGGCATTACTGCGCCCTGTAGGAGGCGATAAGCCACGGTATTGTAAATGCCATAGGGGGCACTCACTGTGATTATGCACGCCATCGATAACACACTGAAAGTTGGGAATCAGTGGCAGGATGGCGAAAGAAACGATACGAAACGCATACCTTGTCAAGCATCCTGTATTGATAATGTCTCTCACGAGCGTCTGAAGTGTCCTATCTGTTCTACAATACTATCTATCAGCCAGAGAAGAAAAAACACTAGGAAAAGCCATACTTAGTGAACCCCATCTTGGCAGTAGCAAGGAGGTGACACAATGAAGTGGCGATGAGGATGTCGATCAACGTGACCGCGCCCAAACCCAGGTAGACGGTCCACCGAATACTATCCAGCTCCGAAAAAAGATGGCACTTGAATCTAGATTAATGTGTTAGGTGAGATAGCCAATCGGTGCAGCGAGGCTTTTATTTACATTGCCCTGAGCAGAACTGGTGAAGAGGAAGGGTCAGTAGCAGATCAAGAAAATGCATTCTACTTCACCGATGGCAACGCCTGTGGGATACAGATGGGTCAACGTCAGTCAAAAAAAATTACGACACTTTGTGTTTACTTGCCTAAAACCGAGACAATGGGTACCGTCTTATGGTATTCTCAGATCGACAGGAGGCCAGCTGCGATATGACCGCTTACCATGACCGCAGGCAAAATTCTAGTTCTCCCTTTGCTAACTAAGATGATCAGGTAAGCTCAGTGTCATTGTAGCCTCAGTGGATGCATACGTATCCATATCCGCTGCAGATATAGGCTATGGTACGAAAGTATATCAGCAGGAAAATCCACTGGCCGAAGTAATACTCACAGGTGCACAGTATACACAATAAGTGTCTGAGAAGTCATGAGATGAGGTACATCACGCAATAGCTCGCTCGTGATAGCTTACGTCGATGATCATCATCACCTACGCGTGATGAGATCAAAAGGGAACAGTCCAGTATAGTTGCGATCATTGCGCACCTTAAAGCTCCACACAATCTCGGGAAGTGCTAGCGGATTTGCATAGTTGACGATAAGATAATAGTATATGATGTGATTGACCAAAGCGACATGCAAAGCATCGAGAAAACTGCGAGTGCGATCGTCAAGTCAACTGTAGCACCAGCGAACAAGCGCTAGAAACCTTACCAGAGCCAGCATACCTTAACATTGTGTTAGATCAATGGGGGCTTTCCTTTCATTCTAGTACACAGGGACTTACTGCAATTTTGTAGAATGTGATTCCCTCGTCCCTGTGTGCCTGGAAGTAAAGAAACGCTTGGACATTGCTCAAACCGAAAAAACTATCAAGATCAGTCGGAAATGAGCGACCCTCATATTGAAAATTGGACTGACATTGCACCAATAGTAGCGCCGATATATAGTGCACCAAAGGAATTATTCAGATCGATGTTGAATGCCATGTTGGATGCCATGCTAGAATGCAAATCTCTCGAGCGAGAGCTATAAGGCGGTCATGAAACACTTCGTGGTTTATACCTGTTCCGAGAGTGGTGCCCGCATCAAGAAGAGATCTTTATTTTGGTTCATAGTATACAGCCCCCTGATCAGACCTATGCACCAAAGTCCCACGGAAACAGCATATGTGCCTTGATGTAGCTGGTCTCTAATACTATGCGGAAGATGAGGCCTTGCGATGAGTAGCAAGAGGTAAGGCAACATGCATACGTTTATATGGCATCGACGGGAGCGTCAGCATCACTCATGACAGTGATCCTGAGCGACGCTTTTCAAATTGCGGAAGCCGTTATCAAGGTCAGAGGAAAGGTGGGTCAACAGTAACAGCACTTCGCCTGGGAGGAAAATGGCATATGCGTCTCGAAGAAGTCGTCAGCACAGCTCATCCGGCAGTTCATCAACGATCCGCGTGTATAAGATTCGGGAGATTTATGATATGCGCGATTATGCTAATAAATATCCTCCAGATTCCCAACAGCATTATGCGTGATGCACCGTGGTTGGGACGGGCTGTGCGTAAGAGAGTCCCTTGTTGAACTCCAGAAAGTAGACCTCGGACATTATTATATAGCCGGCTGTACTAATTAAAGGATATACATCAATAGAGCGGGCGTCACTGGATATGCTGACCTGCCTCGGAGGCCTGGATGATGATGCCAACAGACCTTAAATAGCTGATACAAGGAATTGCAGGAAGGATTTAAAAGCGCGATTCCGGTAGCTGGGGATAACCAAGGTGAAGGAGTGTATCCGTCATGCGCGAGGGTCCAGCACCATTGGTCTCGACAGTAGCGTCAGCATCACTCGCAACGATTTTCGAATTGCGAAAGCTGAAATTATCAAGGTCAGGGAAATGGTGGGTCAACAGTAACAGCAAGTACTTCGCCTGGGATGAAAATGTCATGGAGCCGATCAGCACAGCTCATCCGGCAGCTCGAGCGCTCATCGTTATCGATGACCCGTGTTGTGACACACACAGCTGTCCTCTTTCCCAAGTTCGTTCTCCCACGTCTGCTATTCTCTTCGATCTATCCTCTAACCTTGCTGCATCTGATCAAAATGACTCAGTCCAGGGTCAGAAGAGGCACTTTCCCTGGCTCAAGGATTTGAGCAAAGTCATCCCGTTCGTTTGAGACGTTCCACGAAGAGCGGACGCCACGAGAGTAGGAATACAAGAAGAGCAGGAACATACAAAACAGTGAACTTGAATTAGACTCAGACAAGAGAAGGAGAAACACACCATTCAGGATATACTGTTGACTTGAACACGAGCGAGTTGGTCGTCACTACTCGACTACCCCGGTTGCCATCCACCTGAAAAACAAATAATTATATCTCACCGCATCCCTAATACCCTTCCTTCAACTCCTTGTTAAGCATCGCAGGGTTCATCCCTGCACTTCTTCCACCTTCATCCCCTCAGCCACGACTAGGCGATAAATTCATCATTTCGCTTCGTCCAGCTGCCAACAAGTACCACAATATTCCCTCAGATTCATGCTAACGGTGGTGGTGCGAGCGAAGCAGAGTAGGGTATACTGTGGTATGCTCAATTGAGGTAGTAGAAAACCGATGCCAGCGCGGATCGCAGTGAACACCCCAACTGAGAAGACATTATATAATGATTAATGTGATGCTAGAGGACAAATGGAGATCTCCAGCGGATTGGTAAGTGCTCGTTACCTTACAGCTCTTTGCATAAAGGATGGCACTGGCGTGAAATTTTCGTTCAATTAAGAAATGTTAGGCTTAGTGAAATTTTGCTCGTGTACGCTCATACTACCCTTATATTATCATCTTCGCAACATGGGATTTCGCAAGATCAGTCGTGATGTGAAACTTGCGGCAATCCGACTCCATTTGGATGAGCTCATGCACCTCCTTGCGACAAACCAATTCATATCTGTCCATTTCACGACAATTTTCCGCAAGCTCGAACGTGCTGATGTGAGCTACAAGAAACTCAAGGTGGTGTAAGGATCTTTGTGGGCTGGGACTGCTCAGGCTCGTTATCTTCGCCGTCAGAGTCAGAGTCAGGTTCCTCTTCCTCCAAAAGTTCTTTCATTCGAATATCGTCCTCATCGGACCCATTGGAATCAAGGTCACTGTCATGCTCTAGCAGGCTCTTGTGTTTTTTGGAGGCAGGAATAGTTATAAACGGCATGATGATAATGAATTACAGGGGGTGTGAGTGTACAATGAGCAAAATTTCACGCCGGTGCCATCCTTTATGCAAAGAGCTGTAATTGCTTCTATACGCATTTTGGGAGTTTCAATTCAGATTCTCCTTCATTTCGTCAAGCTCCTCCTTCCTCCACCGTGCACCACGTTACCGCTGTCGAAGTGCCACCAGCAACACCAAGTCGCTCTCAGAAGCATGAGGAAGAAAGAGAAGCCAAACTTGATCACATCTTCCTCTATCGAACGTCTCGATCCCTCCTGAACAAACTCTCAATATGGCAGCTTATATCCCTCATGGATACATCGCGCACTGAAACGACGCACGGAGCTCTCCACAAGAATGAACGTGACCGGATACAGAAGACGTAGTTGAACCTCTGTGGGTATTGACCAACAACGAGACCAATTGTTTTAGGTTCAGATCAAAGCCCCAAGAGAAATGCACCCTCCTCCGCTCTAGGCTCTTTCCCAACTTTCCCCTTTCCGATGAACGGATCCTCTACAGACGAATCCCTCCCCGGTTCTTCTCCCCACCATTCATCGTTCGCTACCGCACCAGGAACAAAGTGAAACAACAACAAGCGAGTGCGCAACGCAGGACAAAGCACACAGTGCGCTAACCCGGCAAGTCGACGACTGGTGTTGCAGATAGACGCCAGGACAATAGCGCCTGCTGTAACCGCCAAACGTATCCGCACCGCAAGTAACCATCCTCGTCCCCGCAATGCCGTGCATAAACCACCTCCAGACAGCTCGAGTTCTATACCTATATTCAGGAGCTCAAGGTCACGCATCACCGATAGTGCTGCCGTGGTCCGGTTCCGTTCGGTTCAGAGGTGGTTGGACGAGAACCAAGAACCGGACCAAGGTTCGGTTCTAGGTATTTCAATGAACCTTAGACCGAACCTTTGCGAACGGTTCGCAGCGGTCAGGTTCGGTTTTTTCTCGGTCTGAACGCGAACCGAACGCGAAAAAATTACAGCCAGGAAAAAAAAACATAGGCAAGATATTTGTACTCGTAGTTACATGTCCAATGAAGCCGCATGTCCCTCAGCCTCTACTTCTGCAGAAAGGTGCCCATTCCTATATGCTCCCTTCAGTAGTTGTAGTGCAGTGAACGTGTCAGTCGCGAGTGCATTGCGTCGGATAGTCGAAGTGATTCCTCCGCTTGAGAATGCTTGTTCGGAAGGAACGGCGCTGCCTTGAATGGGTAGATAGTCTCGCGCGATGCGCGCGAGTGTAGGGTATTGCAGCGAGTGAAGCTATTAAGTAGATTTAGCTAGTAGCGAAAAAACAAGTCAAAAAGAAAACTTACCCCCCACCAGGCCACAATGTCATCAGTCTCCTCTAGTGGCGAAGACAAGTACATGTTGAGCTCTTGACGAGGATTGTGAGTAAGGTGGTCTGATGTCTTGCGCGTCCTAATAGCCTCGCGCATCCAATCGTGGAAATGGGGACGGCATCATCAGGATCGTTGTAAAAAACGATGTCTTTGGCATCCTTTAGAGACCCGTCTGGGTTGAGGGCACACTGTGCTTCAGGTTCAGACATTGTACCGGTAGTCGAAATATATCACTCACCTTGCTCCCTTTATATGTGAATACCCAATCTCCTACTAACTCGTAGTATGCATTGACAGATCCTAAAAAAATATATCAATATATCAGATCAATCAGTTTATTGCGCTTGATTTGATGGAAAAGTCGTACCTCGAGCTTGATTGGACAGGTAGGCTTTATCGGACAGCAGGGTGTGCGGGATGCGAACCTCCGGACAGGATAAGTCGAAAAAAGTCTTGAGAATGCCAAAGGTCAAAGTGACCATGGCGAATCTTGAGGATCGAGAAGTCAAAATGACCATAAGCGTGTGCTTGAGCCTTGAAGGCGTTGCAAGGAAGATTCGGTTCCGGGTTCGGAACGGTTCGGGAAGGTCCGAACCTATAGATGAACCGCACAGGAGTTAGCGGACCACGAACCTCGTTCCGGTTCGGTCCGTGCAAAATGCTGGACCATGGACCGAACCAAGGACGAACCTGACCAATGGTCAGGTTCGAACCACGGTTCGGGACTGGACCACGGCAGCACTAATCACCGAGAGAATCTCGAATGTATACACCGCAGGGAGTTTAAATACATATCCTACTGGGAGAACTTCAATCCCTCCCACTACCCACAGCTCAAGTCTTACGCCGTTCGGCACAGACGAGAAACGTTCTCTCGCATCTGGCCCTTTTACTTGATTCACCTGACAGCTTGGGCAATACTTATATAACAGACAAAGACGAAGATGCGGACGAGGACGAGGAGTTATGGCTACAAATGTCTTCGCCCGATATACTGCCGCTCGGCAAGAATGGGCGGGTCGCGCGTGCCAAGGAACGCATTTCATCAACCACAGCAGAAAATGAGGCTTGGAAGGTAGGGACATCAATTTGTGCTGCGAGAGTTGAGGTGCGTGACGGGTAGTGTATTGTATGCGTTTTAACACCTTTGGGGTAATTGTTCTTCGTTGGTTTAGCAGATGTCGTAGAGGCACTTAGCCTGCCGTATACTACCATGGACAAGTATGGCGTAGCCACGTCAAGCTCTTAACATCTCAAAGACGTAGTCCAGACTGGTTACACGTCTAACCCGATATAGCTTCAAAGTCGTCACGTCATGTTCTTGATGTCTGCCTCACGTCAGTGTTCAGCAGTCATTTTCTCTCTCCATTCTGCCTCGGCCAGATACAAAATAATTCTCTGCTATGTCTCCACTTCTTTCAAGCTTGGTTGCTCCCGATGTCCTCCGATTCAGAGTCCCCCCCTATAACTCACTACTAGTAACTCACGCGTCGTGCTATCAATCATACTGCACCTATGTGAAGGCAGCAACACAACTCACTGCCACACTAATTGACCTCGCATGAATAGAGGAACTACCACGCCAGTGAGTCATGTGGTTCAATACAGGACGCAAACTACTCATACTCACACACGATTTATTCTTGCAGTGTCTGCATTAGCTATCATAGTCGCAATTGGTAGGGCATCCCTGTGATTCAATGTCGGCAAGGTCACTGGCAGGTGTGGATGCTGCAGAGATTGATGCTGTCAAAGCAGCAGCAAGAAGGAGGACGAAGGTAAAACGCATTGTTCAATGTTTGTGAGGGAGGATGTGATATGGGTTCAAATCTATCTGAAGGGGACAGTAGGAAGACGGCTTGCTATTATGTGCTGAATATTGACATCCGTGGCGATGAAGGAAGAACCTATCTACCCTTTCAAACAGATGCAATGCCAGCAGACTGCCGCTTTAGATTGTACGCATCTAGTGACATTTTGGAACGTGGGCTGACTTTACGAAACATTTGCAGTGCGTCAGGGTCAAGGTTTTTCGCGCGAGTATTGGTCCAATCTCACGAATTTATCGACCATTTCCGTGCTCGAGGTGGAGATATGGCGCTATAGAGGTGGTGAAACGGTCCCACTAAACAAGGTAAGAACGACAAGACATACCAGTCGATCGTGTTCAGCGTCGAATTCTACTTTGGTCTCGTTGCGCAGGAGTTTTTGCATCACGCCCTCAGTCCGTCGCTGCCTCTCGCACTGATTCTCTTGAGTTGCTGATATCACACACCAGAATTCTTCATGGACCCTCACGCGCACGTTCATAGAAGTCCAAGAGCGTGGCCGAATGAATGTCGTCACAATTCAGTGATCCGCTTCCAAGGCCTCCGATGCCAAGGGCCTACGAATTGCGGGAAGTGCATGTATGTCATCAAATTGTCATAGATTAGATTCAATTCCAGTGGGGGGGGGGGGTTTCAAGATAGTCGTTTCTTCTTGATTGGTTTTTCCTGATGTTGTTTTCCGTCATCTGGATTCGTCCAGAACGCTGCGTTCAATGGTTCCCGCGCGCTCAGCTTATTCAGCGCATATGTATCGGCGGCGTCGCGGACAGAATCGTCGATGTTGATCGGTTGATCATTAATGAGATCGCCCCTTTAGCAATTGCTTTAGTCCCTCAAGAGTCAAGACAGTGCATAATTTGTTTCCGCACTAGAAGTGTCATTCAACAACACTTTCTCTCTTCTTCCCTCGACACTCGACAATCTCGTACTCCAGGCGCTATACTCTTCAGCATCACTCATTCATGCTGTAGAAGACTCGGAGTTCATGCAAGGTCGTTATAATTAAAATTGTGTGCTCGTATCTTCTTTTTATCTCATTATCGGGAGGTGGAAGTGGGCCATGCCGCGCCGTTCAAACAAAACAATTCACATTATCATAGCCATGTTTGTATCTATCTAGATACATCGATTTTATTCAAACTGTCCTGAACCAGTGGCTGTGTCCATTCATCCTTGTAGTTGTGTCCATTTGTCATACTTGCATGCTGGCTTAACGAAGTTAACGTTCCTCACCGTCTTGTCACATCTCACTTGAAAATGTAGCACTATGTATATACGTGTGGTGCTCGACTTAGAACATCCTACAGTTGACGAGGGTACACCATGAAAGGATTGGAAAGAATAGAATGAGGACAAGCAAAACAGCACGCCAGTAAATTAACACCTGCCGTGGGGCCCAGAGAACTTTCTGACCGCTGTGATAAGAAATATACAGATCAGTGGCTGGCAAACATATGTCGTGGATAGAAGGCTCGAATCTAAGACATGACAGTTATTTTCAGTGAGTCGTTGCAAATCAGCATTGAGATGGGTGAACTTAGTCCGACACATGTCTGGATCGCGGAACATGGTAAACAATATCAAAGGCTTCCTCCTAGCCTTTTGCCTTCACATTCGCTTCGCTGGCTCAGATCAGCGGTACCGGAAACCTGGTCGTCAAATTGGTGCTGATCAAGTTGGTTTCAGCGTTGTGCCATAGTTTAACGCAGTAGCACACATGTAAATTAAGTAGCATTGAAACAACAATTCACGTATCCAGCGTGTAATACTATGTACATCAATAATTACACGTACATCCCAATTAGTGCTGCCGTGGTCCAGTCCCGAACCGTGGTTCGAACCTGACCATTGGTCAGGTTCGTCCTTGGTTCGGTCCATGGTCCAGCATTTTGCACGGACCGAACCGGAACGAGGTTCGTGGTCCGCTAACTCCTGTGCGGTTCATCTATAGGTTCGGACCTTCCCGAACCGTTCCGAACCCGGAACCGAATCTTCCTTGCAACGCCTTCAAGGCTCAAGCACACGCTTATGGTCATTTTGACTTCTCGATCCTCAAGATTCGCCATGGTCACTTTGACCTTTGGCATTCTCAAGACTTTTTTCGACTTATCCTGTCCGGAGGTTCGCATCCCGCACACCCTGCTGTCCGATAAAGCCTACCTGTCCAATCAAGCTCGAGGTACGACTTTTCCATCAAATCAAGCGCAATAAACTGATTGATCTGATATATTGATATATTTTTTTAGGATCTGTCAATGCATACTACGAGTTAGTAGGAGATTGGGTATTCACATATAAAGGGAGCAAGGTGAGTGATATATTTCGACTACCGGTACAATGTCTGAACCTGAAGCACAGTGTGCCCTCAACCCAGACGGGTCTCTAAAGGATGCCAAAGACATCGTTTTTTACAACGATCCTGATGATGCCGTCCCCATTTCCACGATTGGATGCGCGAGGCTATTAGGACGCGCAAGACATCAGACCACCTTACTCACAATCCTCGTCAAGAGCTCAACATGTACTTGTCTTCGCCACTAGAGGAGACTGATGACATTGTGGCCTGGTGGGGGGTAAGTTTTCTTTTTGACTTGTTTTTTCGCTACTAGCTAAATCTACTTAATAGCTTCACTCGCTGCAATACCCTACACTCGCGCGCATCGCGCGAGACTATCTACCCATTCAAGGCAGCGCCGTTCCTTCCGAACAAGCATTCTCAAGCGGAGGAATCACTTCGACTATCCGACGCAATGCACTCGCGACTGACACGTTCACTGCACTACAACTACTGAAGGGAGCATATAGGAATGGGCACCTTTCTGCAGAAGTAGAGGCTGAGGGACATGCGGCTTCATTGGACATGTAACTACGAGTACAAATATCTTGCCTATGTTTTTTTTTCCTGGCTGTAATTTTTTCGCGTTCGGTTCGCGTTCAGACCGAGAAAAAACCGAACCTGACCGCTGCGAACCGTTCGCAAAGGTTCGGTCTAAGGTTCATTGAAATACCTAGAACCGAACCTTGGTCCGGTTCTTGGTTCTCGTCCAACCACCTCTGAACCGAACGGAACCGGACCACGGCAGCACTAATCCCAATAGACGAAGTATACGTATAGGGGTATGCAATATAGAATAATGACGCGGTGCATGTATGTAGCGAGTAGGGTAGCGTATATCGCACCCCGTCCCCAGCGCCTAGGCCCATCGTCGTGTAAGTAGCACTTAAGAGTGCGGTATGAAGTCGTGCGTCGTGTCTGATGTGAGAATCTGTGTTGTATGCGGTAAAGATCGTGCGTGGTATGCGTAGAGATCGAATGCGTAGTATGCGGTACAAAGCGTATTGGAGGTAGGAATCATGCATCCTATATGAAGCAAAGAGTGCGCGTGGTATGTCTGACACGAATCGTCAAACTCGTCAAACTACCCATAAACGACGCGAACCCACCTAATAGTCCAAACAACAAATCTTACAACTCGAAATTAAGCGAGTCTCTATCCTCGCTCATAACTCTTGCATACTCGAGGAATAACCTGAAGACTACGGTTGGCTTTGCGTGTATTGAAAGGGTCGCAAACTGCACTCACCTAAACAAATAAGCAGTCATATCCTCCTTCCTCCAAAACGCCCTACTCCACTCCCTCCCGCTCCTCGCAATCTTCGCTCCAAGGTCTGCATGAGCTCCTCGGCCTGAGGGGTCACCGCGGAAGAAGAGGAGGGCGTCGTAGAGGTCGGAGTAGTCGATTTGGATGGGGATGTAGTGAACCCAAGGGGAGAGACGGTCTGTGAACCTGTTTGGGGTGGGACACGAGAGTAGGAATACAAGAGGAGCAGGAACATAAAAATAGTGAGGTTGAGTTAGACTGGAGCGAGAGAAGGGGGGAACGAACCATTCAGGATATACCGTAGACTTGAACACGAGCGAGTTGGTCGTGATAAGCCGTTTAAACCGACTCGACCACCCATTGCCATCCATCTAGCGAAACAAACACGTGAGCCGCTCCGCAGAAACAACGAGAAACCGACAAGAAACCGATTGTAGCGCTTTTGTAAAGAGCCAAAACCAACGTAGAACCCAAAAATGCAAACTCACATCAAGCACATACTTATATCTCCCCGCATCCCTAACGCTCATCCTCCTCCTCCACTCAAACCCCTCCTCCAACTCCCTACATGTTTCAGGCTCACACTGACTAGGACTCCCCGCAAACGCAATATCGAGCATCGCAGGGTTCATCCTCGCCTTCTTCATTTCTTCCACCTCCATCCCCTCCCCATCCCCATGATCGTCCATGACCAACACCTCAACGCTCCCATCTGTCCTCTGCGCAATTTCCACCAACCGATCCTTCTGCGAATCCCTCCAAGGTCTATCGCTCGCATGATGAATGCCCGTATTAAGCCCCCTCCAAAGAAGCCGCTCATCTTCCTTTTTCTCCCACGCACCTTCTTCATCTCTTTCGCCTTCGACGTCATCCACCCATGATAAAGGTACGGGTACTCGGATATCAGCGTGTAGAGGACTGGAGCAGTAACTGAATTGCGGGACAGGGAAGGGGTTGGCGGAGGGTCCTGTGCCGTGAGCGAGGAATTGACCATGTTGGGAAAGGTGGGAGGGATGTGCGCAGGGGTCCATTGCTTGGAGGTGGTCGTAGATGAAGGTTTTTGCTTTTTGGGTGGTGGATGGGGACCGGAGTGGGTTTCGTGCGACGGAGTCCAAGGGACATGCATGGATCCAGCCGTTGGTGAATGGTGCTGGATCTTCATTAAGAGGATCGATATCTGAAATAATGAAATGTCGGTTAAGGCACTTGCGACGGAAACGGAAATCATACATTCGCCCCTTTCACCCGCCTCTACGGCTCTTCTTCTCATATCGTGTGTGATAAACACGTTAGGGTTATCATGAGGGCTGAACACCGCCCTAAATGTGGGCAGATCATCTTCGACCTCAACCAAGAGATCGATCAGCTGGTTGGCGCCGATAAGTAAACGATCCCTTGCAGCCTCGTCTTCAGGCAGTGTCTCATTTCCGACGTGCAAGGGCCCAAGCGGACTAGATTTAGCGAGGGTGTATGAGTGGACGTGTGCCTCCCAATCGCGTTGGATCGCCTCCAAGGGCACGGGGTCTATACCCCAGAATGGTGCGAGATCGAGGTGGATCTGGTCATATTCATCTGGTAGCTGGACGTTGTGTTTTTTGACGTAGGCCCACCTGTAAAACCGCTGTCAGTTTACACGACATTTTGGGCCCTTACGATGGACAGTTTGACACGGAGTGACGGAGATGATGAAGCGAGTAGGAGAAAAATGAGGCAGGAAAGGTACCCGAAACAAGGCGGAAACAGGGAAGAAAGGCGGCTAAGCTTGTCTGAGACGTACCATTTATCAAAACCTGGCGGAGGAGCCCTCGCGTATCTGCGACGGTACTCATGGACTGCCTCGGGTAGTGTTTGACTGACATGAGCGAGCTTGGCGTCCCACTCTTGTTCGGCACGTGCGATAAGGTCGAGGATGGGATGTCGACCGTCTGGGTTCACTTCTAGTAAACCGTCTGGGCGGAAAGTATGGGCAGGGCGTGGTATGGGGCGTAGTAGAGGTTCTGGGTAGAGGGAATCAGACTCTAAACTCCAGGAGTCGGATTCGAGATGAGGTGACCGTGGGGGATCTGCAGGATAATCTACAATTGGTGCATGCCAATGCGCTTGATATGATAGAGGCAGGTACGCCGAAAAGTTAGTATTAAGTGGTGTGCCAATTGATTTAGTGATGGATATCGGGGCTAGGGTGAAAGCGATGAGGGTACATCCAAAGATCACGAGGAAGGTGTAACTTCGCACAGATTTGCGAGCGACTCGGAGAGCAAACATGGGGAGCGTCAAACGTCAAACTGAGACATACCATTGGACCTTTATTTGATGCAATTATATATGAATCACTAAGTATGGCTTTTCCTAGTGTTTCTTCTTCTTTGACTGATAGATAGTATTGTAGAACAGATAGGACACTTCAGACGCTCGTGAGAGACATTATCAATACAGGATGCTTGACAAGGTATGCGTTTCGTATCGTTTCTTTCGCCATCCTGCCACTGATTCCCAACTTTCAGTGTGCTATCGATGGCGTGCATAATCACAGTGAGTATCCCTTATGGCATTTACAATGCCATGGCTTATCGCCTCCTGCAGGGCGCAGCAATGCCAAACAACTTCATCTACCTTGCAATCGAGTGGCTACTGTCCAAATGTACGCTTTGGTAGCTCCGTATTGCACGCAAAAAGCTTATTCGACGCCCTTAGTATATGTGAACTCCTATATGGCTCTACTGAACGCACGTTATTACCACGATGGAAGCGCACACACTTCACAAGCCCGACCCCCGCAAGTCTACCGCCCAGAGTTACAGATCAAAGTTTCACAGGACGTATTCCCCCGAATTTCCACATCGGACAAGTTGCAGGTCCCCGACAAGGCTCGGGAACACCCCGCTTACTACACTCCTGTCGCGGTCCGTTCGAAGACAGCTGACAGTGCGTACATTTGTTGATGGAGGATTCAGGCGGGATGTGCCCATCCCATTGAAGTGGTCACAGAGTCGTTCTCGAAGTTTTATCAGTGTACCGGCATCTCTCGAGGGTAGACCAGATTTCTGAATATTCAACTCTGCGCCCTGCTTATGAGACATGTTCGGTACTTATCAGTTTCTTAGAATAACATAGACGTGCGACAGGTTGCTCGTTTAACTCACATTCCAACTTGTCCCTGTGACCTTTGACCGTTATGGGCAGTAAGCCTGGTTGTTCAGGCGAAAATCCCAGTGAGTAATTGGCATCTGTGATAACTGTGGTACATGCGGTACATAACTTGCCATGTTCTTGTTGCAACCCGCGAGTGCTTGCCTGACGTATAGCAAGTGACATGTCAAAGTTAAGACGGTACGGTGTATTATGCGGCTCGCAGTTTGAACCGTGTCGATAACTGGAGGTTTGTCAATTGATTTGCGACTCTCCTTTTCCATCCCGGTTTTCGATTCTCCCTTTGCCATCTTCCTTCATCTTCCGCCTTGCACACTATGGTCTCCTTGCTATCATGTCCCTTGTCCTGAGTGAGCGAATCTAGGCTTCTGGCCCATTTTCAGAAAAGGGGAAACTTTTCACGCGCACATGAAAATAATCGTCCATTGTGAGGTCATGAATTAGGAAATAAGTTCACGCGCACATTTGCATACAGGTGCCTGGCCGTTTGGAGCTGACAGAACCCTCCCTACTTCATAGAGTCGGGGAATGTGGACAAATGGAGATCTCCAGCGGATTGGTAAGTGCTCGTTACCTTAAGTGCTTCTATACGCATTTTGGCAGTTTCTCCTTCATTTCGTCAAGCTCTTTCTTCCTGAACTGTGCACCACGTTACCGCCTGTCGAAGTGCCAACAACAACACCAAGCCGTTCAGAAGCTTGAGGAAGAAAGAGAAGCCAAACTTGATCACACCTTCCTCTATCAAATGTCTTGATCCCTCATGGATACAGCGCGCACTCGCTCTCTCTCCGTGTCCCTCGTGCAGGAAAAATAAAAGAAACACAGCAAGCAAGTGCACAACGCGGGACAAAGCACCCAACGTGCGCTAACTTGGCAAGTCAACGACTAGTGTTGCAGACAGACACCCAGACAAAAGCGCCTGCTGTAACCGCCAAGTGCATCCGCACCGCAAGCAGTCACCCTCTTTCCCGCAATGTTGTACATAAACCACCTCCAGGCAGCTCGAGTCCTATACCTATATTCAAGTTCATGCATTGCTGAGAGAGGCTCGAGTGTACACACCACAGGGAGTTCAAACACATATCTTACTGGGAGATCTTCAATCCCTCTCACTACCCGCACCTCAAGTCTTACGCCGTTCGGCACAGATGAGAAACGTCCTCCCGCATCTGGCCCTTTTACTCGATTCACCTGATGGCCTGGGCAATACTTATATAATAGATAAAGAGGAAGACGAAGATGCAGACGAGGACGAGGAGTTATGGCCGTAAATGTCTTCACTCGATATACTGCTGCTCGGCAAGAACAGGCGGGCCACACGTGCCAAGGAACACATCTCATCAGCCACAGCAGACAATGAGGCTTGGGAGGTAGGGACATAAATTTGTGCTGTGAGAGTTGAGGTGCGTGACGGGTAGCATATTGTATGCGTTTGAACACCTTTGGGGTGATTCTTCTTCATTGGTTTAGCAGATGGCGTTGAGGCACTTAGCCTGGCATATACTACCACGGACAAGTGTGGCGTAGCCACGTCAAGCTCCTTAGCTTCAAAGTCGTCACGTCATGTTCTTAATGTCTGCCCCACCTCAATGTTCAGCAGTCATTTTCTCTTTCCATTCTGTCTCAGCCAGATACAAGATAATTCTCTGCTATGTCTCCACTTCTTTCAAGCTTGGTTGCTCCCGATGTCCTCCGATTCAGAGTCCTCCCCCTATAACTCGCTACTAGTAACTCACGCATTGGGGCCAGGCTTGGCCTCGCATAAAAAGAGGTACTGCCACACCAGTGAGTCATGTGGTTCAATACAGGATGCAAACCACTCATACTCACACACAGCTTAATCGCGCAGTGTTTGCATTGTTTATTAGTGACGCAAGCGGTAGGGCATCCCTGTGGTTCAATGTCGGCAGGGTCACTGGCAAGTGTGGATGCTGCAGAGATTGATGCTGTCAAAGCAGCAGCAAGAAGGAGGACGAAGGTAAAACGCATTGTTCAATGTTTGTGAGGGAGTATGTGATATGGTTCAAATCAATCTGAAGGGGACAGTAGGAAGACGGCTTGCTTTTATGTGCTGAATATTGACATCTGTGGCGATGAAGGAAGAACCTATCTACACTTTCAAACAGATGCAATGCCAGCAGACTGCCACTTTAGATTGTGCGCATCTAGTGACATTTTGGAACGTGGGCTGACTTTACGAACGTGCACATTTGCAGTGCGTCAGGGTCAACGAATCCATACCGTTTTCCGCGCGAGTATTGGACCAATCTCACGAATTTATCGACCCTTTCCGTGCTCGAGGTGGAGATATGGCGTTATAGGGGTGGTGAAACGATCCCACCAAACAAGGTAAGAACGGCAAGACATACCAGTCGATCGTGTTCAGCGTCGAATTCCACTTTGGTCTCGTTGCGCAGGAGTTTTTGCATCACGCCCTCAGTCCGTCGCTGCCTCTCGCACTGATTCTCTTGAGTTGCTGATATCAAACACCAGGACTCCTCGTGAAACCTCACGCGCACGTTCATAGAAGTCCAAGAGCGTGGCCAAATGAACGCCGTCACAACTCAGTGATCCGCTTCCAAGGCCTCCGATACAAAGGGCCGACGAATTGCGGGAAGTGCATGTCATCGAATTATCATAGATCAGATCCAATTTCAGTGGGGGGAGGGGGGTGTCAAGACAGTCGTTTCTTCTTGATTGGTTTTTCCTGATGTTGTTCTCCGTCATCTGGATTCGTCCAGAACGCTGCGTTCAATGGTTCCCGCGCGCTCAGCTTATTCAGCGCACAAGTATCGGCGGCGTCGCGGACAGAATCGTCGATGTTGATCGGTTGATAATTGATGAGATCGTCCCTTCAGCAATTGTTTTAGTCCCTCGAGGGTCAAGACAGTGCATAATTATTTTCCGCACTAGAAGTGTCATTCAACAACACTTTCTCTCTTCTTCCCTCGACACTCGACAATCTCGTACTCCAGGCGCTATACTCCTCAGCATCACTCATTCATGCTGTAGAAGACTCGGAGTTCATGCAAGGTTGTTATAATTAAAATTGTGTGCTCGTATCTTCTTTTTATCTCATTATCGGGAGGTGGAAGTGGGCCATGCCGCGCCGTTCAAACAAAACAATTCACATTATCATAGCCATGTTTGTATCTATCTAGATACATCGATTTTATTCAAACTGTCCTGAACCAGTGGCTGTGTCCATTCATCCTTGTAGTTGTGTCCATTTGTCATACTTGCATGCTGGCTTAACGAAGTTAACGTTCCTCACCGTCTTGTCACATCTCACTTCAACATGTAGCACTGTGTATATACGTGTGGTGCTCGACTCAGAACATCCTACAGTTGACGAGGGTACACCATGAAAGGACTGGAAAGAACAGAATGAGGACAAGTAAAACAGCACGCCAGTAAATTAACACCTGCCGTGGGGCCCAGAGAACCTTCTGGCCGCCGTGATAAGAAATATACGGATCAGTGGCTGGCAAACATATGTCGTGGATAGAAGGCTCGAATTTAAGACATGGTAGCTATTTTAATTGCTCGTCAAGTTGGTGCTGATCAAGTTGGTTTCAGCGTCGTGCCATAGTTTAACGCAGTAGCACACATGTAAATCAAGTAACATTGAAACAACAATTCACGTATCCAGCGTGTAATACTATGTACATCAATAATTACACGTCCATCGCAATAGACGAAGTATACGTATAGGGGTATGCAATATAGAATAGTGAAGCGGTGCATGTATGCAGCGAGTAGGGTAGGGTATATCGCACCCCGTCCCCAGCGCCTAGGCCCATCGTCGTGAAAGCAGCACTTAAGCGTGCGGTATGAAGTCGTGCGTCGTGTCTGATGTGAGAATCTGTGTTGTATGCGATAGAGATCGTGCGTGGTATGCGTAGGGATCGAATGCGTAGTATGCGGTACAAAGCGTATTGGAGGTAGGAATCATGCATCCTGTATGAAGCAAAGAGTGCGCGTGGTATGTCTGACACGAATCGTAAAACTCGTAAAACTACCCAAAAACGACGCGAACCCACCTAATAATCCAAACAACAAATCTTACAACTCGAAATTAAGCGAGTCTCTATCCTCGCTCATAACTCTTGCATACTCGAGGAATAACCTGAAGACTACGGTTGACTTTGTGTGTATTGAAAGGGTCGCAAACTGCACTCACCTAAACAAATAAGCAGTCATATCCTCCTTCCTCCAAAACGCCCTACTCCACTCCCTCCCACTCCTCGCGATCTTCGCTCCAAGCTCTTCATGAGATCCTCGGCCTGAGGGGTCACCGCGAAAGAAGAGGAGGGCGTCGTAGAGGTCGGAGTAGTCGATTTGGATAGGAATGTAGTGAACCCAAGGGGAGAGGCGGTCTGTGAACCTGTTTGGGGTGGGACACGAGAGTAGGAATACGAGAGGAGCAGGAACATAAAAGTAGTGAGGTTGAGTTAGACTGGAGCGAGAGAAGGGAGGGAACGAACCATTCAGGATATACCGTAGACTTGAACACGAGCGAGTTGGTCGTGATAAGCCGTTTAAACCGACTCGACCACCCATTGCCATCCACCTAGCGAAACAAACACGTGAGCCGCTCCGCAGAAACAACGAGAAAGCTACAAGAAACTGATTGTAGCGCTTCTGTAAAGAGCCAAAACCAACGTAGAACCCAAAAATGTAAACTCACATCAAGCACATACATACATTTTCCCGCATCCCTAACACTCATCCTCCTCCTCCACTCAAACCCCTCCTCCAACTCCCTACATGTTTCAGGCTCGCACTGGCTAGGACTCCCCGCAAACGCAATATCGAGCATCGCAGGGTTCATCCTCGCCTTCTTCATTTCTTCCACCTCCATCCCCTCCCCATCCCCATGATCGTCCATGATCAACACCTTAATGCTCCCATCTGTCCTCTGCGCAATCTCCACTAATCGATCCCTCTGCGAATCCCTCCAAGCCTGAGGTCTATCGCTCGCATGATGAACGCCCGTATTAAGCCCCCTCTAAAGAAGCCGCTCATCTTCATTTTTCTCCCATGCACCTTCTTCATCTCTTTCGCCTTCGACGTCATCCACCCATGATAAAGGTACGGGTACTCGGATATCAGCGTGTAGAGGACTGGAGCAGTAACTGAATTGCGGGACAGGGAAGGGGTTGGCGGAGGGTCCTGTGCCGTGAGCGAGGAATTGGCCATGTTGGGAAAGGTGGGAGGGATGTGCGCAGGGGTCCATTGCTTGGAGGTGGTCGTAGATGAAGGTTTTTGCTTTTTGAGTGGTGGATGGGGACCGGAGTGGGTTTCGTGCGACGGAGTCCAAGGGACATGCATGGATCCAGCCGCTGGTGAATGGTGCCGGATCTTCATTAAGAGGATCGATATCTAAAATGATGAAATGTTGGTTAAGGCACTTGCGACGGAAACGGAAATCATACATTCTCCCCTTTCGCCCGCTTCTACGGCTCTTCTCATATCGTGTGTGATAAACACGTTAGGGTTATCATGAGGGCTGAACACCGCCCTAAATGTGGGCAGATCATCCAGCCGATAGTGTCATATAGATATATCTTTTATGGACTATTAGCCAAAAAGTCCGATACATCATCTACTCTAATTGTCCACTGTCCATGGGGAATGTATCCATAATCCTACATTCCTAAATTACAAATCTTGCTGTATATATATACAGTGTACAACCACTGGTTGACACAGCAAGTGTCAATTGCCCTCCTGTACACCAAACACCTCGAAAATCGCAGTTTCTAAGCGCTAGAATGATAATAAATAGTTCAATATATACGACTGAGGTACTAGAATTTTAATAATTGACGATAATAATGTATGGGAGTGTATTTGAGCTTGGGCAAGTAATGTCACATGAAACCTATCGTTGACACACCTGTGACCAGCGTGACATATCACTGCGATAACGCTATCACACACACGATCCACTTCGACACAAACCTCGCTAGCTCTCAAATTCTTCTCCTGAATCCTCAGACTCTGTTTCATCATCCTGTGTCATATCCTCGAGGGTAACAGCTGAGCTTGATGCCAAAGCACATTCATTGTTGATGCGTCAATACAAATTGATGTGTTTTTGGTTCCCATGTCCCTAAGTGCCTTGCTGTGTCACGCTTCAGTGGCCTCTGCATAATCTACGTTCGGACACAGCGAAATATCAATGCTTTTGCCACAATTTATGGTCTACACTTTGGTGAATGTGTCACCTACTGACTGATGTAGTTTTTGTAGCAACATGATAACCTGTATTGCCCAGTACACCTGACTTTACAAAGTTGATGCTCCATTTTGAGCCACATTTTGGTAAGAATCCATTCATATATGAAACATTGCTCAGTGAGATTGGTCAAAAAAAATTCCATGCCTACTAGATGTACCTATAGACCTAACTACAGAATCACAAGGTTGATCAAACATGAATTTAATGAGTTATGGCCGAGTGTGTCAAGGAATGATGGTGTGTCAACCAGTGGTTGTACACTGTATAAGCCCACATGTTCGCATTTTCAGCCACCTACTGTGGGAACTTCTTGTTAAGACCGTGCTCAAGGGTAAAGCGGAGTCTGAGGGGCTTGGCTTCAGCTCGTGTGCTGCGCCCTTACCCAAGTACGTGCCCCTAATTTCGGAGTGTAGTCCGACACGAGTTCTATGAGTTCTGACAGGATGTCGGAACGGGGGTCCTCTGAAGGAGGACTGGCAGACTACTAGGTGAGCGCGGGAAAGTCGGGTGGGGGTTGTTCCGCCTGACAGGAGGGAGGCAGGAGACTACTGTGGTCGGAACCAACAGTAGAAGCGGAGCGGAAGGGACTGCTTGGACAAAGTCCGATGCAGAGCAGAACGGAGGGGATGGATGTGAGAGTGTGGGGTTTGGTTCCGACGCACGGGAAGTCGGACGAGCGGAGGAATGCCATAAAACGACTTGATATATGTACTAGAAGTTAACTATAAACAGTTTGGATAGTTTGTGCAATGGCAAAACCTTAAAAATGCGAAAATATGCAGTAGTATAGCCAAGAGGAGATATTCCATTCTAGAGAAGGATTCTGTTGCTATTCTCATACAGCTATGTGATTTATATATTCTAGATATCAGTAGGAACAGGCACCCTACCAACCTGGAGGGCTGGAGCTGCAGGAAAAAATTTCCCATGGGGTGAACCACTAGGAGAGGGTAAGCACATAGCACCACAGGGACTGATCCTGTTGACCTAGGCTCCTTATATGTTGCATATACTATAGAAGGGATGTTGGGGATCATATTTACAAGTCTATATACCTAAAGCTCAAAAAATGTGTAGCTATTTTCTATTTTATGGTAGTACAGCACAGTACATGATATAGGGCGCTCTAGGAGGTAAAATAAGGGCTGGGATAGGTACATATATGTTTACAAACATATTCTAAACACGCTAGGGTACCCCAATACCAGAGGGGCAAAAATGCGAAACAGTTTTTGATATGTTTTCTATTATGTCACACTTGCAGAGGCTCTGTACCAGGTATTGGTGCAAAATAAAGAGAAAAAGCGGTCTATTATATTCTATTATGTGTATATAACCTATACTACTACATAAATGCAAGTTGTATCTAATTGTGATGTGGTTGGTGAGCCAGGGATGGATGGGGGAGCCCCTTCAGTGACAAACTCCGTATTATATGAGGCAACTGATGTGCATAATATCCCGTATAACACGGGCCAGCAGACCATGGGCCAATGATGAAGATATCCTCAATGTTAACGGATGGGCCGGGAGGGATATTATTACCAATGAATACGGGTGGGCCCATCTAGGTAATATGTAGAGTAGGATGGACATGTATATTATAGACAGGTGGGCTGAAGAGAGATGTATATTATATAGACGGGTGGGCCAATGTAGTGGTATTATTATATAAACAGGTGGGCCAGAGGAGCAGTTTATTATATATGATATAGACAGGTGGGCCGACGTAGGGTATATTACATAGACTGGTGGGCCGAGGGTAGTAGTATATTATATAGATGGGTGGGCCGGAGGAGCAGTTTATTATATATGATATAGACGGGTGGGCCAAGGTAGTAGTATATTATATAGACAGGTGGGCCAGCGTAGGGTATATTACATAGACAGGTGGGCTGAGGTAGTAGTATATTGTGTAGACGGGTGGGCTGACTTAGGGGTATATCATGTAGATGGGTGGGCCGAGGTAATTGTTATCATATAAACAGGTGGGCCAAGAGAGTGATTTATTAGATATTATATAGACGGGTGGGCCGAGGTAGTTGGATATCACATATACGGGTGGGCCCAGATACGTATCATATAGACATATGGGCCTGAGGTGGTAGTATATTATATAGATGTATGGGCCAAGGTAGTAGTATATTATATAGATGGGTGGGCCGAGATGGTTGATATCATATAGACGGGTGGGCCCAGAAGAATGAGTGTTATAAACATCAGTGGGCTGAGATAGTTGGATAACATACTAATCAGTGTGCTGATGTAGGCACCAGTACATACCCACTGTATGAGTGCATACACCTATCATCGACCACCGAAACGAGAAACACAAAAGCCTGAATACAACATTTCGTAAATTAGACAAATCACCAAGTACCTAATACCGAGTACCAAGTTCCGGGTAACTAATCCTGATGTCCGGGTAACTGACACCGATGTCCAGGTAACATCCATTGACGTCCGGGTAACTGATATTGACATCCGGGTAACTGATATGGAGTTCCGGGGATGTCTTAAATTGGACAAATGACCGAGTACCGAGTTCGAGGCATCGAGTTCCGAGTTCCGGGCATCAAGCACTGAAACACGAAACTAAAATCCAAGAGTGTGAAGTACTGAGTTCCGAGTTCCGAGTTCCGGGCACTGAGTTGTATTTCGGTGCTCGATGCCCGGAACTCGGTGCCTGGACCTCGGAACTCGATGCCCGGACCTCGGAACTCGATGCCTGGAACTCAGAACTCGATGCCCGGAACTTGGTACTCGGTACTCGGTACTCAGAACTCAATGCCCGGACCTCGGAACTTGGTACTCGGAACTCAATGCCCGGACCTCGGAACTCGATGCCCGGAACTCGGAACTCGGTACTTCACACTCTTGGATTTTAGTTTTGTGTTTCAGTGCTTGATGCCTGGAACTCGGAACTCGATGCCTGGAACTCGGTACTCGGTCATTTGTCCAATTTAAGACATCCCTGGAACTCCATATCAGTTACCCGGATGTCGGTATTAGCTGCCTGGAACTTGGTGCTCGATGCCCAGAACTCGATACCAGTTGCCCAGATGTCAATGGATGTTACCCGGATGTCGATATCAGTTACCGGACGTTGGTGTGAGTTACCTGGATGTCAGTATTAGTTACCCGGAACTCGATTTCATTCTTTGAGTATAGCAGAGGTACAATGCATTTCAAGAACATTTACAGAAATCTAACTACCAAATTATGTAGACATTTCAACCTCGCCCAGATGACCCTCATCATCACCTTCACCTTCAACCTTGACCAGATGACCCTCATCACCACCTTCAACTTCAACCTTCACCTCAACATCCATCTCATCACCAGAATTGTATTCCGGGACAAGGTTGCATGGATCATCTGGCACCAAAATTGCTCCGGCAGTTGAGGGAGTAGGTGATAGGTCCGGGGCTGGTTGAACTTGGCTCGGCTCAAATGAAAGACCCTCGATGGCAGAGGGATCCTCAATTTTCGAGGGTGTGGGCTCCACTGCAATCAAAATATTGATGAGAGGAGGGAGTGCGGATTGGGAGGGTGACGTTGTTCCAGCGACGGATTGATCAAGCAACAAAGACGTTGCAATTGCCAGAGTGGTGGGAAGGGGAAATGAGGGATGGGGTTCCATGGTTTGGCATTGAAGGCTCTCATGGAGCCTGCTGAGGGTATTGATATGGCTGCCCTGCTCGGCAACAAGATCCTCGAGAGCCTTGATGTGTTCGGCACTATCGCGAATACTTCTTGCCATGGAATGGAGGTCCGGCATAGGGACGTCGAGAGCTGCACGAGGCACGCGGGCACTTGAAGACACAATTGCTACAAAGGAATAAGATAAGATGATGATGAGAAATTCGAAAGACTTACGAGCTGGTGCAGGTGAGGGTGTAGGTGGTGGGGCGGGTGCCTTGACAGCAGTTATTGTCTTGCTGCGACCGCGCGTCTTAGGCGTGGTCGCAGCAGACCCACTGGCAGTTCCTGGCAGCTCCAGCTACACCACGAGATTGGCTGCGGGTCCGGGCCTTTGGTTGGGAGGTGGATGGAGCTTTGGAAGGTGTCCGGGACCTGGCCTTCCGGGTGGTCGACTTACCCCAGCGACCGTTTCGGTGGACTTCCGAGGGTGACAGGAAAAACACTTTACCTTCTTTGTGTTGCAGAAAACACAGGAGAGAAGGCCTTTCCCAGTCTCTTGTCGAACCGGGTTGTGCAGGGCAACTCTGCATTGTTACAAGCCCAGCATGGGTTGTTCTGTTTGTTCAGTTAGTTGAAGGACGCCCAGTCAATTTTCAAAGTACTCACCGGTCCGGGAATGAGAATGTCATCTGTATCGATGACAGTTGGTGCCACGTCCGGGGTGACCACGGGGGTATTGGACGCCGAGTCCGAGTGCTCGACGAACCTCTGGAGGGCTTCCAGCAGGGCCATCAATGACAGTTGGTGCCACCACCGGGGTGACCACGGGGGTGTTGGACGTCGAGTCGGTCTGCCCGGCGACGTCCGCACACCTTCCGGCAATTACCTGACGACGTTACAGATGACCAGGAGTGATGCGGGCATAAATTAGACATACCTTCGCAGGGCCGAAAGGTCTCTTCTTGGGGATCCGGGGCGAGACTGAGGTGAGACGATGAAGTAAGACGACCGGCCCTCCTTGGGCAGCCGGCTGCAAAATAATGAGTGACAACGAAAACAACAAACAGAATGACATACCTTGTCCACAGGTTCGTCCTCGGACTCCACAAACTCGGCTGACTTCACAACCCGAGCTGACTTTGCCCTCTTGCGACTCTTCATCGCAGATTTCGGCGGTTGGGAGGAGGGTCCCGAAATCAGGGGCGATTTCCTCTTCCTACTCCCGTCCGCCTCAGGTTCCGGGTCAGCATCTAACGCCTTACCCTTACCCTTATCCTCACGCTTCTCCCGGGACTCGTCGATGGTGCTGGACGATGGGCCGGCAATGCTGCCAGCGACGGCAGGTGGGGAGGGAAGGTCGACCGCGACAGTGTCAGGGGATTTGGGGGCATCGACCGGAAGATTGAATGTCTGGTCGCCTAAAGCCTCCCATGCAGGAGACCTTGTGGCGCCAGCTGTGCCTCTGGAGGCGAAGATCGTTATGGCCGATGCTGTGCCAGTTGGGCGAATCCTGGGGGGACAACTGCCTGAATGCGAAGTAACTCCTTGGAGCAGGACAAGACTATGCCCAGAATGCAAGGTGAAGCCTCATGGTCCCGGACGGCCTTAGCCTGCCCGGACATTAGAGAAAATGAAAAGAAAAAAAGGAAAAACCACATACCACCAGTTCAGTGACTTGTGCTTTCAGAGCCAAGTGGCTGTTGCCGGGTGGGAGGAGCCGAGCCGCGCGGACAATGTCAACAATCTGCCTAGTGATTGCCTTAAGTTCGGCAAAAGAGGTTTCAGCTGGAGTGGACATGTTGAATGATGAGAAAGATGTGTAAATCTTTGAATCAGATGTGAAATTGATGAAGTTTCAGAGGGAAAACAGGCAGTTGAACGGCCATGTAAAACTTTGTTGATTTATTTGGCTTTGTTTGGCTATGGTTCAACTTTCGGAATTTGCCGGACTTCAGTTGAACTTCAAGTATACAATCAATTATCGGTACTTCCGTCCCTCACAAGATGAATTCACATCCAACAGTCAGATTTAACGATCCTCCGGCGACCGAGTATTATTCAATGGACGTAGATGATTCAACACAGTCCGGGACATCAACAGGTAAGATCTATTTGTACTATCCCTTATCTATGTTTTTATCTTACATGCCATAGATGATTTATACCTTGGGCCGGATGATGACATAGAAGATGATTCCGTGTCTTCCAGTGGTCCGGGCGTGTTGGCTGCAATCCCCAGTACATTTATCACTTGGATATTACCATGCATGCTCACTAAACTCGTACAGATCAATTACCTCCGGCTCAATACGATCAACCGGTTCAGTACATCGACCTGGACTTGTACCTTGGGCCTGATGAGGATCTGATTTATTGTGATGATGAGCTGGGCTCTGTCTATGCACAGTGTGAGTCTCCGGTCGCATCTGAAGTTTCAATGTCATGTAAGTAAATTCTACACATTTTTCGATTGAAACTTAATTTATCTCACAAGCGAATGAGAGACCAGCCGAATGCGATCCAGCACATCCGGAGGTCACAAATGAAGATTTGCATGCGATGGTTCATGAGTTCCGGCCAATAGGGTCATTTGAACACTCCGGATGTGAGTATCTGGTATACTACTATGTCTATCATTTTTCTTATTTTCATTTCAGTGCAATCCCTTCAAGATAGACTCAGCAGCTACAAACAAGTTAATGGAGGTCTTCCGGCCCCTTCCATACCACTACTCATCGAGGCCGAGCGACCATTTCGAATCACTTGGGCGGATACATCTGACAAGCTCTGGAGGGCTGATGCTGAGCTACAGAGGCTGAGAAGAGCTGAACAGGCAAGCATCGAAATGCTCAAGGTGGTAGATTCCATGATTCGTCAGTGTGAAGAATGAAACCAAAACTAAACTTCTGAATTTTCAATACCATCACATGTAAAGTACCAACTCAGTAAAATACCGAATCTTCGATAACATAGTCACATCACATGTAAATTACTGGAACACAGAGGTATTACATTACTGCCATGTAGAATAAGTAATCTATCAAGAGTTCTGGGTATCAATTTCCAGGCATAGAGTACCCAACACCAAATATCGCGTTCTGGGTATTGAGGTCCGGGCATCGAGTGCCTGAGTTCCGAGTTCCGAGTTCCGGGTAACAAATACCAAGTTCCCTGAATCAAGTACCTGCCCAGACCTCAATGCCTGGACCTCGGTAATCGATACACGGAACTCGGTATTTGGACCCGGAACTCGGTATTCTCTGCCTGGATCAAGAGTTCCAGGGTATCAAGTTCCAGGCATAGAGTACCCAACACCGAATATCGCATTCTGGGTATTGAGGTCCGGGAATTGAGGTCCGGGCATCAAGTGCCGAGTTCTGAGTTCCGAGTTCCGAGTTCCGGGTAACAAATACTGAGTTCCCTGAATCAAGTACCTGCCCGGACCTCAATGCCTTGACCTCGGTAATTGATACACGGAACTCGGTATTCTCTGCCCGGATCAAGAGTTCCTGGTATCAAGTTCCAGGCATAGAGTACCCAACATCGAATATCACGTTCTGGGTATTGAGGTCCAGGGAATCGAGGTCCAGGCATCAAGTGCCGAGTTCCGAGTTCCGAGTTCTGGGTAAAAAATACCGAGTTCCCTGAATCAAGTACCTGCCCGGACCTCATTGCCCGGAACTCGGTACATGGTCATTTGTTCAAATTACTCGGTGAACCACAGAATCTTTGACCACATTAACATCACATGTAAATTGAATACCGATTGAATAACATTGATAGTGACATATGAGACAATGGTACATGTACATTACTTTTTGCCCCTTGCTCTAGTAACTCTGTCAGATGGTTGTTGCACTGACTTACTCCGAGTTGTTCTCGCTGGTGCCTCAATCGCATCTTTCTTCCTCCAGAAGCTCTTCAGGGCTGGCAGTGGAACTTCATGTTCAACATCGCCAGGGCCCTCAGCCTCACTCTCGGATTCGCTTGATGACTCCTGAGGTCTCCAGATCATCACCCTCTTATGCTTCAGACGAGGAGGTGATTTCTCAGATACAACGGAATCTACCATGTCGCCTTCTTTGTTCCTCCATGCCTTGAACAGGAACATCGGACCTTCACCCATTTTCTGACGAGCATACCAGAAATTGAGCAAGGTGGTGGTATCCCAATTTTGCAACTTGGAAGGCTCCTTCAAGTTTACATCCTCCGGAAGATACTGTCTGGCCACAAAGTCATCCTGACTTTGTATGATGGCACTCCACGGCACGACGGCCTTGTCAATCCCAGAACAGATCCCTGTACCCTACATTAAAGAGATTCTCTTAGGAAGTTACGAAGCCAGACTCACTATAGTGCTTTGTAAGAAAAGCCCTCACTATGGCCTTCTTCTCCTCCAGTTTTGTTTCCCTGATGTCCAGAAGCAATGGCATCCCATCCCCATCCAATTCCAGATCGAACACCGGTTTCTTCATTCTTTTTCGCCCTCCCTTCACCTGTCGCCCTCCATCCCGTGCCTCACCACCTATGATCCCAACGATCAATGAAATCATTCTCTTCTCCACAGCGGGAACACTCACCGAACTGTTCCTGCGCGTACTCCTGCCAAACCGGCTCTATGTCCTCCCAGTCCTTAGTCTTCATGAAGCTGCCCCCATCCCCTAATGCCTCGTTGTCATCGTGCCTATGTGAAATAAGTTGAGACCAAATATCTGTGATGACGGATAAAATTCACTGACATCCCGAACAGCACCTCTCCGTGTTCATTCTTCCAAGCCGACAACACAAACACTCTCATCCCGCACTGTCTCCACATCTCGTTCGAAAAGTGCTCCATATATACAGGTCCCTTCTTACGGGCGACTTGCGCCTGCGTCTCAGGAGGAGGAAAGTTGTTGGACCATTCTTCGGCGGTTTCTTTCGCCTTCTCCAACTCATCCTCGGACAAATCGGCCATGACCTTCTTCACCACAGCTTGATAATGCTTGAACATGTCTTGACCTCCTGGCTTTGCCCCGAACTCGTCCTCAATCCTCTTTAGCACTTCCTCTCTGTTCTGCTGATAGATCACCTGCCTAGGCGTCCATTTCCTCCCATACTTAATCATGTCCTTCCTTTCCTTCTTTTTCTTGTTGTTGAACAACCAAGTTTTATACATCTAAGAGGCAGAGGAAGAATCAGACATGAAAAATCGAGTTTTTCAACACAACAAGGATGTATCACCTGCTTCCTCTTTTTCCATTGTCCTTGGTCGACCTTAGGAGCAAATAACCTGGCCACTCGCGCTATGGCATTGAAAACTCCCCGTTTCTCACTCCTTTTTGCAGAAGTCCACTCAGGAAGGTAGTTCTTCAGCTCTGAAATTTCGTTTTCCGTGAGCTTCTGTGACTGTGGTGGACACGTTCTGTGTCTTCTAGAAGTCAACTGAGTGGAATGACCTGATCTTGCCATGGTGAATAAGATTGCAGAATGGGCTGAGGATAAGCAAAGTGGAAGGAATAATGGTCACGAGTTCAACTTTGATCAAAGCCTAACAGTTGGTTAATCTACCTATAACGGATGCAACACCATTCATGGAAATGAATTGGTAATGAGCCAACCAAACTGCATAATACGATGATGGAATAACAATTTGTTTGACCTTCCTGAGCTAATGCTTTCCTTGCAACATTAAAAAATAAAATGAAGATAGGTCGTTGCACCCCATTGCAGAAATCCCACAGGGTAGAAGCAAGGGGCAGCAAAGGTAGGAAGACATGGGTCAAGGTCCCACTTGCCAGCACGAGTCGACATGCCTACAGGTCCATGCCTACCTCTCCCCCGGAATTACCAACACTTGAACCTGTTCAGGCCCCACCTCCTTGGGAAGACTTTCCTGAAGATACTTACGAGCAAGACCAAGGGTCATTTGAGCCCTTGCAACTCCCAAAAACAATGGCAAGTTCATGTAAAATGTTGGAATGTCTTTCGAACAATAGCTAAGTATTAAAAAATGCAGAGTCAGAATGACTACCTCAGGCAATGGCTGCCAAGGCAGGAATCATATCTCCATCACCTCCTCGATCGAGAAGCTCTGCCAGAAGATAGGAGATGCATCATCTGTGATCAGGATGGGGTCTTCAAATGTCAAGATTGTCTTGGGGAGCCTCTCTATTGCACAGGCTGTTGCTGGAGTCATCATCATTGCAATCCTTTCCACTGGATCAGTCAATGGAATGGTCAATTCTTCAAGCAAAGTTGTCTGGCTCATGTTGGACTCGTCATACACCTCGGTCATGATGGCAAGCCATGTCCGGTAGTCATGGATAGGTGGGATTTGTTTGATGAAGATGAACAAGAAGACCACTTTGAACCTGAAGATCTACCTTCTGTGTTGGGACCCGAGTTCCAGCCCAAGGAAAATACAATGGTCATCATTGACAAGTCAGGAGTCCATCGCCTCAAGGTTCGATGCTGTGATTGTCCCGATGCCATGAGTCCAGACATTCAAATGTTTCGAAATGGCTTTTTCCCTGCATCATTTAACAAGCCGAAGACCGTGTTCACCTTCAGAGTGCTAGATGATTTTCTGTTGGACAACCTTGAATGCAGTACCTCAGCAATGAACTATTACAGCAAGCTTCGGCGAATGACCTCGAGCGTGTTTCCCCACCTCGTTCCGGTAATACCATATCTACATCATCTGAAGCACATTATATTGACAAAGCACGTTGAAAGGACCGATACAGAGAGCTTATGAGAGTCGCTCGACAGTGGAGGCAGTTAAAGTCTATGAAATGGCATGGCTTCGGGCATAGTTCCGACAACCCGAATGCCGGAGATCTCGCATTATTCTGCCCGGCATGTCCTCAGCCCGGGATTAACATATCCTTGTCAGGGGATGAATCACTTGATGAGTGAGTCTCTTTCGTTACCGAATCTACGTCGGCGATATTAAAAACTCCAAGCTGGAAATACACCCGGTCATTTGTGATGGACGGAAATTTCAAAGCCGAACACCTGCATCCCATCAAGCCATATGATGAAGTATGGCTCTCCGATGGGTTGGAGTTTATGGTGGGAAAGGAAAGGTATCAAAAGCATCTTGAAGAGGCTGCTGACACTGTGGAAAAATCGAGCTGCAACAATCATTGGGCTGTCAATCAAGCAAATGCAGCTCGGCACAAGCTGGAGTCCACCGGCATCAGGGGAGTAGCCTGTGGCCGACACGGTTGCTTTGTCCCTCACTCGATGGTAGATTTCCAGAAAGGCGAAAGGCAAGCCGGACATGCCGTTCAACATTCCCGAGTTGACCGTGCATCATTTGCAGACAAATGAACATGGACTACGCACTTTGTGAGGCTGCCCAGCACAACATGGATGGGATTACAAGGGCTGTCACCTTCTATGACATCAACTGTCAATACAACAAGCACTTGCATGTTCGGGTGGATCGAGGCCGATTTCTGACAATGGTTCCGGAATTGACCATCATTCCTGGAATTGGGCTGTGGCACATCCACGGACATCAGGATAGCTGCTATGTCAGATATGCATCGAATTTCATTGAAGGCATTGGTCGCATTGATGGAGAGATCATGGAGACCCTATGGGCATGTCTCAACCTGATTTCTCCTGCTGCTCGGGGAATGTCTTGATTTCCAGATGAACGATTCCAACTTTTGCAAGATGATCCGCATGAAGAGGACCCTTTGCCGGAAATACAAGCAGGCAAAGACTGGCATCGCCGAAAGTGGAAAGGCTTTCGACAGACTCGACGAAGCCGCACTGACCAACTTAAAGACAGACTGGTTAGCAAGTGAGAGGATCGCTCAGTCCAACAGAATACAAGATCCAGCTGCGATGGATATATATGAGATTAATATCAAGAAGGGTGAGATCACTCTGTCTCGATCGAAGTCTGAATTCATTTTGAACCCAGCACTGAGCAAAAAGGAGATAGAGCTTAGACTGCTGCAGGAGGGTAATGCCCGTCATGCAGCACCCTCTCGCAGATCTGTGGCAACATGGATATCAATGGGTCTGGCAATTGAAGAGGCTCAAATTGCATTGCACATCGAGGTCCGAAGAATAGGAAAAAGAACTACTGAGACTCAGAGATTAGACATCGCCCGGCAACGTGATCGTCTACAAGGCCAGATAGATGCATTCACTCAGACTGCTCTGACGCATCTGGGAGAGGGATTTGATGCAGATGACGACCCTGACGATTTGAATATAGACATTCTCGATGATCTCGATGATGACCCGGAGGATTTCATCAGGAAGTCCGATACATGGACAAACTCCCCTGAGCTCACTGTCATCCCATTGCCATCAAACCTTGGGGTAGATTGATCCAAACATTGTATGGCAGAGGATCTTATTCCACTGGAGTTGTTGCTTCGTGAAGGACAGGCCAATGATGCCCTTCACAACCTCCAAATTCACTTGTGCAACAAGGCAATACTCTTCCAAACAACAGTCAGGCAAGCCAAATCTCAAGCATTGAAAACCCAAGCTTGGTCCCAGGTGACATCAGTGCAGCAGGTGGTGTCCCTCCATGCCAGCATATATACCAAGACAAGGAAGCAAATGATGAAACTTGAGCCGGGCCAAGACCAGCTGGAAAAATATAAACCCCTGCTTCGGGAGCAGCTCAAAATCAGCACGGCCGTCGGCGATCCTCATGCCCGAGGTCAGCGAAATGAGTCTCTCGCTTGGTTCTGGTCTATCGAAGTAGATTTGGGGGGTCCGGATCACTCGTGGAATGAGGAATGTGAGTTCCAGCTTGCTTGACAAATGCCTGCAATCTGACCGGACCTGCGTGAAGTTTACCGAGTTCATTGGCTTTGGGCAAAGGCACTATGGGATCGATGGAAGGAAGAACTGATATTGGTGGAATTGGAGATGGAGTGGACGTGTAATTTCTTCTTGTGGAAATCAACGCAATGGGGCGACCAGATGAGGGAATCATTGGTGAAACACCTTCCGGGTCATGCTTGCTACTCCGGAAGGCAATCCCAAATGTATTCATTACTGGCGCAGGATGCTCAGGCAGCGTTTCAAGACCTGCAGAGCATGTTAATAGATGCCTGAGATGAATGAATTATGAATATGTTCTGCTGATATATGATTCGATCCCAACAATTGAGTCTCGGCAAGGGGCCGGGTCAGCCAATGTCATGAATGTTACCAACTGCATCTAAAATTCAATTATCGAACCCTAAGTCACCTATCCGATAAGATTAGATTAGATAAGATCCCTGATAAGATAAGATGGATAACCGATTAACGATCACTATCTTCACATCACATCTATACTACATCAATGTCATCCATCTATATCTGTAACCCTAGACATCCGAACTCATCACATCCTTAGAAGTCCTACGATTAGGCAACGGGTTACATCATAAGCATCTACATGCCTCTATGATCGAACCATAACCGAGAGTCCTTATCTCTTGAAGAGTCATCATCCTTCACATCGCACACCTTCACTTCTCATGACATGTTAAGAGTTACCTCTGTCATTCACCGAACCCCTTACATAAGAACCTGTTGCACAGTCACAGCTAAATCCCTGAACCCTTATCACAGAAGCGCCACTCATAGAGAAGCATGCTCATTACCGAAGACCCTGGAGAACCCCTAGATCCGATTGTACCCGATACATCTCCAGATCCTATCTCTCATCGAGATCCTTAATCACCGCTTGAGACTTCTAGTCACAGAACTCTCTCACCCTTCTTAATCTCCGTCCACCCTGAATAGAAGCAGTACCCTGAGAACCCTGCTTAATTACCGATACCCCTAACCCCTATGGACCCTTCCTTGTAGTTGATTGGTTGACAAGACGCCCTATACCCTAGGTGCAATGTTATGATCTTATATAGATATATCACTACCTTTCATACTCAGATAGCTCCGCTCCAATAGTAGTATATAGTCTAGGTCGTAGTCAGTAGTACTCCTTAGACTTAACCTCTTCATTCCTACCCAGTGTAGACTCAGACGTTCACTCTCAATAACATCTATTGCTCTTATCCTTGACGAGTCCTAGTGGTTGTGTTAGGCCTTTACCATTTGGTGAACGCTGATCATAACAGCCCATGTCAGAGTTTGAATTATTTTATCAATCCATCAGTGGATCCCATCTGAAAAAACCTTCATTATCATTGCTAGCATCCTACTCCTGCATTGCCCATGTCTGATTTAAATTCACCTCCTGAATCCACTTTTGCACCTCCTGCATCCACTTTTGCACCTCCTGCTGTCTACTTCTGCCACTGAGGATTCCGGCACTGAATATAAACCCCCCACAATGAGTCTTGCAGATATTGCAGTTACATTGGCAATGGCTGCATCGCGCGTTCAAGCCTGTATCAGTCAATATCAGACAGAGGCTGCCAAGAACAATGTTCCTTTGGCTCAGATAATGTACTTTAAAGCCGGAATCCAATGGGAGATCACTGTAAGCCATCAAACAGGTGACTGTGGTTGGGAATATGCTGAGATTGCCAACAGATTTTTGTGACACCAATTCTGCAGTACTCAGCTGCAAGGAACATCATTTCGGTTATGCCACCCCCGATCACTCATATTCTTCACTTGTTTCCTCAGCTCACATGGAACGCAGTTCCAGACCACATCTTTTCATCCCACTTATCCGAGTTTCATCTGGTCCGGGATCATGGAGAACCCTCCTGGATCGTATCCTCCTATGATACTCCATGGTGGATGGGGGACACTACAATCCCTAACCAACCATGGCAATGGGATCGGGTGATAGATTCCTGTCACTTTCACTACCAGCATTGGCTAGTAAGCATTATACCCAACTTCCTTGATAGATCACTAATCCGATCTAGAGCAGTGTTGAGGACAATGGTTTCATCCTTCCGGAGCAGCTGGATGGCACCCTGGCTCCATCACTGGTGGGACTGAAGTGGATTAGGGAACACCTGGTGTTGTTGATTCAGGACCATCAGGAGGGCATCTGTGATAAGATGGTGGAGATTGATATGTACACTGACACCCTAGCCCGGTTGAAGAGAGCCAGAGGGGATGATCCCTATTAAATGTTAGTGTATCAAATGTTCATGCCCTTTAGACGTATGTTGTACAGATCTTTGACTCAATGTCGAGTTCCGGGTATCGTGTTCTGCGTACCGGGCATGGAGCACCAAGGTTAGGAACTAACATAACTAAGGTCCGGGTGTCGAGTACCAAACACTGAACACCGAACACCGAATACCGAATGCCGAGTATCGACGTCCGGGTATCAAGTTCAGTGTATCAAGTTCCAGGGTACCGAGCATCGACCATTGAGTTCCAGGTATTGACCATTGAGGTCGGGGCATCAAGTGCCGGGTGTCGAGTACTGACCACCGAACAGTATCGAGTACCGAGTACCGAGCTCCGGGCTCCGGGTTCTGGGAGTTGAGTACCAACTTCCAGGTGTGTGATCCGGGTGCTGAATGCCGAGTGCCGGGCATTGACTACCGAGCTCCGAGTTCCGGGCCTTGAGTACTGAGTGTCGAGTACCGAAACCCAGCATACACATTTTGTAAATTGGACAAATCACCATACTGTCCCGAGTCCCGAGTACCGAGTACCAAGCTCCGGGTTCCAGGTTCTGGGCGTTGAGTACCGAACACCGTATACCGATTACTGACTTCTGGGTGTGCAATCCGGGTGCCAAATGCCGAGTGCCGGGCATTGACTACCGAGCTCCGAGTTCCGGGCCTCAAGTACCGAGTGCTGAGTACTGAAACCTGGAATACACATTTTGTAAATTGGACAAATCACTGTACTGAGTACCGAATACCGAGCTCCGGGTGCCGATGTCCGGGTGTCGAGTACCAAACACCGTATACCGATTACCGGCTTCCGGGTGTTTAGTGCTGAATGCCGAGTTCCGGGAGTGGAGTACCGAGGTCCGGGTATCAAATGTCGAACATTTGCCTGTTTGATGCTTGATTATTGGCACTCGAACATTGGTAATTGGTATTTGACAGTAGGTACTATCACATGGGTACTAAGCTATGTGCCTGTTCTATCCTTGCCAGGATGGAGTATGTACGCGATCCATCTGAGCCCATCCACATGAGGGAATCCCGGCATAAATATGAACAGAATCCCTCATGTACCATGCCCAAGCAATTCTATCCCCTTCCACTTCATGAACCCCATGTCTTACGATCCTTCCTGAAAACACAATCATACAGCCGGGCTCGTACATGAACTCCAGCTGAAGACTTGGCATACTCATGCGAGCATTCGAATAACTACCCACGGTGGTGAGAATATCGAAGCATTCAGGAATGGATGTGGTCTCGATGATTGGGGGTTTGCCAATTGGAAATGACGGTGAGGGTGTTAAACACGGATGCCCAGTACTGGAGGGTCTCTGACATCCTCGGAAGATTCTTGCTTTTGGCTGATTGTCCGAGGCTTAAAAAGGCTCGTATCCCAGCCCAGTACTGCTCAGGATGCATCACCCTGAGTGTGGCTGATGCGATGGCTGCTGGCCTGGCAATGGCTTTGAGAATATTCTCAGAGAATGGTCCCTTCAATGAGGCAGATACCGCCGGGTCCGACAGATTCTACCGGATTGGTCAGTGTAACTATCGGAAACCGCCATCTCATGAGATCCCACCTCATGCCCCTGTTGAAACCAAGCCAGAGATAGATTGATGCATCCGGGAGATATGCCATCATTTTCCTGAGCTTGGTTTGAACCAATCCTGATTAGTCCGCCAACTCCCATCAACCTTTACACTTTTTGCAAGGCTCAGACTGAGCAAATCGGAGGCTGCCAGAATTTCCTTCTGGAGTTCCCATTTCATATTCCATATCCATTGAGTAACAAAATATGTTACCCACCTGGGTGGTTTCCGTCAGGGCATCCGGGAGGTACCACACAATGATGGCGCCGGTAGCATAGAGAACTGTCACGGGTATGTCAACCAACTTTGTACCTTCATGGCCAGGTGGACACCTCTCAAGCAACCTCGCCTCTCTTTCTTCATTATGTCCAGTGTCCTTCGGGGAGATCATTTTGCTGTATCTCACAATATCAATCTGCATCCGAACTGTGAAGCAATTTGAATCATCAAATGGACTGTGCGAATCTGTGGGAAGACCCACTGGGATTGTTATATGCCTTTATGAGGCAATCCACCAATCGATCGCAAGCCATCACCAGATCGGTGTCTAGCTTAGGAGAAGGTATGACTGGGTCTCCTCCTGTTTTCTCGGCAATGAATTTCTGTTCGGTATATTCACATGCCTCATGAGTGACTGTCAAGGCCCAAGTGCGCCAGAAGGTTATTTCAATATCGGAGGTGGAAGACACATTCATGATGGTGTTGATCTTGGGAAATCAGATGGTCAATGCCGGATGTCCACAGACTTTAAAGGTGATGGAGATAGGGTGGATCAGATAGGGAACCTTGATTTTAGCTTTCAAAGATGGATTATCATTTCATTGCTATACTAATATGTCAATGAAATACTGGATAATGGGAAGGGTGCGAGATATCAAATATTTGAGTGTCAGGACCCGGGACCTGGGACTCCCAGATCCCAGAACTCGGTACATGATGCTTGGTTCATTCAAATTTCGGTAGTTGGAACTTAGCTTTCAAAGACGGATTATCATTCATTGCAATGTTAGTATGTCAATGAAATACCAGATAATTGGAAGGGTGCTAGATATCAAATATTCGAGTGTCGAGACCCGGGTCCCGGGTCCCGGAACTTGGTACATGATGCTCGGTTCATTAAAATTTCGGTAGTCGGAGCTTGGCACTTGGCACTTGATAGTCCCACCCATCTATATCATATAATAACCTCAGCCCACCTGTCAACATCATATACATCTGGGCCCACCCGTGTATATCATACAACACCCTTGGCTCGGCCCACCCATCGACATGATGTGTCTGGGCCCACCCATGTATATGATAACAATTAAACTCGATGCCCGGAACTCGGTGCCCGGAACTCGGTACTCGGTACTTCGTGATTTGTTCAATTTATGAAATACCTGGAAGTCGATATTAGTTACCTGGAACTCGATATTAGTTACCCGGACATCAATAGACATTACCCAGAACTTGATAGATGTTACCTGGAACTCAATAGATGTTACCCGGCCCGTGGATATGATATCAACCATCTCAGCCCACCCGTCTATATAATATACTACTACCTCGGCCCATACGTCTATATAATATACTACCATCTCGGCCCATATGTCTATATGATATGTATCTGGGCCCACCCGTATATGTGATATCCAACTACCTCGGCCCACCCATCTATATAATATCTAATAAATTGCTCTCTTGGCCCACCCGTCTATATTATATACCCCCACATCGGCCTACCCATCTATGCAATATACGACGACCTTCAGCCCACCCATATATATAATAAATATTTTACTGCTCCCTCAGCCCACCCGTATATATGATAAATATTTCACCACTCCCTCGGCCCACCTGTCTACAAAATAATACCAATATGTCGGCCCACCCGTCTACAAAATAATCTTAATTTGTCGGCCCACCCGTCTAATATGATATATATCTGGGCCCACCCGTCTATGTGATAACAAGCACCCTTGACATACCCGGCTATTTGATACACATCTACCTTGGTAAACCCATCTACATAATATCCAACTACCTCGGCCCATCCGTCTATTGAATATTCATGTCTATCGGCCCACTCATCTACTCTACATATTCCCTACATGGGCCCACCCGTCTCCATCGGGAATAATAACACTCCCGGCCCATCTGTCATAGTCGAGGATATATCTACCTTCTTATGCACGTCCGCTCACTCGTATAATACGGAGATATGTTACTGCAATATGTGGATGGGGAGGGTGTGGGAAAGGTTGATATTGTGGAGAATACCCAAAATGGGCTATGTTTTGGGTGTTGTGGAGAAGTTCCCACAGTAGGTGGCTGAAAATGCGCCTGTGAGTGGCTCACCTGTGTGACACCATTAATAACCCTATTTAGTAATGGACATGTGATGTGATGTTTGTTACTAACTAGGGGGGTAGGTCTATGCTGCGGTACTTCAGCGAGTTCCGCAGCACTCAGCAGTCACTTAGGTAGGGTAGAAAAACCTGTAAGATAAGGTTTATCTCCCTTATCAGACAAAGCCGAGAATGGCGGCGACTTCCCGATGCTTCTCCCACATGACACCACGTCCTTCAAACCTTCGTGCTCATTGTGCCTGATGATGGGCACGAAATACCCTTCAAATTCAACCATTTTCAAGCGGCTCTTTCTCTAACCTTGTCTATATTGACATATGTAGAGTTTTACATGTAAATGTAAGTATTTTTATAGCTTAGTCATCAAGACTTAATCACTAACAGGCACTACCTTCTTTCCCACTGGTCACTGTCACACAACTGGCCATGCGGCGAACGAAGAAGATGTCAACATCCTTGCAGGTCAGGATGACTGTTCTAGACAACTCTCATTCCATGCGCACCACCACTACCTCCTTGACGCAAATCAGGCATGAGCGTTTGGCAGAAGAACAGCATCGCACAGAACAAATGAGAGGTACGTTCTAATGATTTGTTGCCCCTACTCTCAACTTTTATAGCAGAAAACACCCTGCGAACGAAAATGCTGCTCGCGGAGGCCCACCTAGAGGCAGGACCTGACCATATGGATGACAACTACCATGACCTAACGACTGACTACAAGCAATGGGTAGGTGATGATGGCGAAGAAACTGTAGATGGCCCGTTGTTCTCCAAGTTTCTTCAGGCATCAGCTCAACAACGGCAAGTTCTCTGACTCTTGAATGATATTTGATAACACGATTTGCAGGGCTGTTTCAAAACATCGACAAGACAAATGGACCCATACTCAGCACAACCATCACGCTAATGCTGCTTGGACACAGCAGATACCTGCTCTTGTTGAAGCATATCTATGCTGGAGACATGGACCCGAAAATCATCGTCACGGTGCTGATGAACCCAGTCACCATACTTTCAGTGTGAGCAGAGTGGGCATCATGGGTAGGTCATGAACAACTTGCGTCTATCCTTCTCACTTTGTTTCATAGATTTTGCCCCTCATTTACTCATCCAACAACAAGACAATGAAGTGGCAAATGCAGTGCTACTGCGCCATGGTTTCCTTGGATGCTCCCCCATCCAGCCAACTGTTGCTATCAGGCTCGAGTGCCTGGAACTCTATCATCAAATATGCCGCCGCCAATCTTCATTCGGCATCCAAACAATCACTAAGGTTTTGTGCGCCCTTCATAATGTAAGCCAAGTGTCAGTTAAATAATTTCACATTACTGATGGGCCATTTGCAGGTAACATATTCATCATCATTGCGGGCTCAATTCTCAACAGCCTTCGACATCTATTTTGATATATTGCATAACATTCATTCATGAGTCAACCAAGCTCTTGGCAGGGATCCGAGCAACTGGTGCATGAATGGGGCATGTCCATGTTGTACATTTGAGGTAATCTTTTAGCGCTTCGCATGCACTTCACACTGACATTCATTCAAATCAGCAATCAGATGAACCGAAACTTGTCCCTCGAAGATTGCACAGCATGGACGGGAATCACTCAGCAAAGCGGATTGATGGCTCTGGATCCATGGACCCCTGTATTTTCGTCAGCAACTTCTTTCTCCCAGATGCTGCAGTGGAGCGGTTCAAGGACGATGTTCGGAGCTGACCTGTGGACCGCACACTTAACCGAAATGACAATTGTACGGAAAATTGGACAGCTGCCAGGTCGGTCGAAGAAAACAAGGTTTTGGTGTTCGAACAAACTGGTATTTTTATCATGGCTTGCCGGCATGGGTTCGTGGAGTGCATTACTGAAATGAAGCGTAGCGGAGAACTGTTAGTTTTTTTTTCCAAATCACAATATGATTGAATTTACATTCACGTTAGCGCAAAATATGGCCTTGCTGCTATCAACCACATGCTTGATGTCTGCGGGAAAGACCAGGGGCTGGGTCATGATATCGACTGTACTTCATGCAAAACTGTCGCCTCCAGTTCAATTGGCGCCAAAGCTCAGGAACTCGATCTCATCATTGCCATCAATGCATTCCACGGCTATGCTCATAACCATCACTGTCAGCTAGCTCATCACCCTTTGTATCTCGAGGGTTTCGGCATCGAAGATCTCGAAACATGCGAACAAATTTTTTCAGGTTCTAACAGTGCCTGTGGGATCATTCGACATGCGTCATATTTTCACTGGGTTCAATATCTAGATCTGCATTTTGATCAATGGGACAAAGACAAATATCTTGAGTTGAGTAAGTGTTTTGGATTTGAATTACGGCGCTTTGCTAAAGTCATCAGGTAATTTCTTACGCAATAACTATGCCCAAGCGCTTCACATGATAGAGGAGTACACTCCTTTGCTTGATGAGTTCAAGATGCACAAATCTCTTACTGATGACGCATTCTTTCAATGGAGGGAAGAGGAATCTGAATTCCTTGCAAACCTTGCCCTTGAACCTCCGTCAGACGCCATTGCGGTAGCATATGTTGAAGAGCTCGAAAAGCTCCAGCGTGCAGAGTAAGTGACCCACTTGATTCACACTAAGATATATCCTAATCATGAGTTTAGAGCCACATATGGCAACATGACCGGTGTCCCATTCCTCATGTACATGCCAGCCAGTTTCACGTCATCGTCAGGTCTCAATTCCCAAGCTCATCAGTCTTCAAAAAGTGCTGAAGCTGAGCTTCTTGCCGCATTACGACGCCTTCGTTTACAAATGAATGTTGTTGAAGATTTTGAATGCCAGCATGGAATCGATCAATGCTGGGAAGTGTCAGACCCTCGTTATCATCAAGCACATGAGTACTCAGGCCAACGGCACTTCGTGCGGGTGGTTGAAGAATTAGAAGGCCTAGTGGTGCAATGCATGTTTGAGTTGTCGAAGGCGAATCTCTCTGGCACAGGTATATTTATTTGTTTGATCATCATTTTAATCTCAAGCCTCCACCAGGATACAAGATGCGCAAATATATATCTAAAGCTATCACATGACGATCTGGAGCTATCCATACAGCACTTGAAAAGTACAACACCTTGGCACCACTCCAAGTTCCGCCACGCCCTACTCTTGATTATGTTGATGTCATAGGGTATGCATCTCTCAGTGAAGTTGAGCTCTTAAAGTACTCTCGCCACAATCTTATGACGAAACCATGGGCTGTACCAGAAAACCGAGAGATGGCGGTCAAGTTTTTCAAAGTCTTGCACTCACATGAAGAAATCACTCGGTTGAACGTGGAAATAGGTTGCCTTGGAGCATGGATTCAGTTTGAGGACCAGCAGATGTTGTTGGCAATAGACTCCTTGTGAGATGAGGGCTCGATAATGCTGGCTGCAGAGGTGCAGAGGGAATATGCAGAATGACACCGCATTAATAATCTCCATCGAATCTGTCTGCATAGCACTGCTAACCTGACTGGCTATAGTGGACCGCCGCCACCACTCGTACTACACGAGCAGGCTCTCATCGCAGATTTGGATAATGAGGATGAGGGTGATGATGATGAGGATAGCGACTTACATGATGAAGCTTCGAGGCTTGCAAATGTCATATCACATATCGTGCAGCAGTAGAATTATGATGTACCCATGAATCAAGCTAGTAATGAACAATGTTTTCTCTTCACTCGGCATGATATTGAGTCTTCGCTGTTGTATATAATTAAATGATCAGCACAGACCATCGAAATGTGATTTCAAGCGTTCTCAAGATCTCAAGACTTGTTCAACTCCATAAATAGATATGCTAATTCTGAAGAACATGAAAGTGAGTATCCTCTGAGTCATCGTGGATCAAAACATTGTTCATATTCTGTCGCTAGGATGTCCTCGAAGCCCAGACATCTATATATCACCCTGCAGCTTCAAGCCTGTGTACCAGTATGTAGTAAGTCATACTCGCTTCCAATCCATGAGGCTCACTTACGAGTTACAACTCTGAGTCATAGTAGTAAGTACTTGACTCTGCCTCGAGCTTTCAACGCCCCAAGTTTTCAACCTCCCACCTGCACACTACCGTCAAATGTTACCACTAGAACTCAACAATGACCATATATCCCACCTTGATTACTTGGATTTGCAGGTCGACAAACCGGTGGGTCTGAATCTTACAATCTAAGTTGAAACATTCATGCTATCATTTGACAAGATCCACTTCATCGAAATCAAGATGACGGCTGAATTCGACTTCGACCACCAAGATGGCATTTTATCCTTCTTTCCTAGTATCCGTTCAGCACTGCTTGCCTCTGAGCCTATCGAGGATGCTAAGGAGAAACACATTTTAGAAGACATGTATTCAATCTTTGCAGATTCATTTGCATGTATAGTTTGCCGTCGCAAATTTAGATGGGACTGCATTCAGCTCCCAGATGCAATGCTTAAAAGTATGATGGTTTCTCTTTGTTTCTACTGGATTTGCTAACGAAGTGATTTGTTAGAGATAGCAGCATTAGACGAGGTTGAACACCAGCATTCACCCATTCCAGACAGTCCTCTGTCTACTGTGCTCTCTAAACGACTGGCGGACACCAATATCAGTGACTCGTACATATTTCCCGACCCTCTACCTCCTGCAGTTGTCTTGCCACAACTGGCAGATGAATATGTAATAGCAGACTGGCGTTCTTCCACCAGCTCCATCGGCCCATTGGTGTCGTCTCTCTCGTGCTCTACAATTACATTGCCTTATTCCACTCACTCCTCTCTTCATTCGCTGTCTGAAGATGATACCCAGGAATGTGCCCTTTGTCCCAACCACTCATAAGGGTACCCACTCGAACCCAGCCACATGGAGTCACCAGTTCAGAGTGCCTTCCTAGCCCTGCACCTCCTCGCTCTAGTATTACTCAGCACAAACGTCACCATCCCAGATGTGAAACACAAGCATCTACCACTTCGCAGCCAACCCAAACTATGATGCCCCCCTCTGCCACGTCATCACAGTCTAACGACACTATGTCGTCTCCCTTCGTAAAGCTTCCGCAGCCAGTGTCATGCCCTTTCATTATTTCACCGCTGTCACCTCCCTTGAAGTCTGCACCGATACCTCCCACAATGCCCACTTCTACACGAAACTTGGTATCGTTAACCCACAACCACTCCCTCGCTTCACAATCTGGCTCATCTTCCGTCATCAAAACAGGGGAGACTTGTAAACCTGTGCGTATTCTTAAATAATTGGGCTGTGCTGGACTTATGCCGATTAGGTCTTGTCTGGTGTGAAATCCAACAGGCACCAGGACACCGCCGATCGGATCAATCCTGTGAGAATCGAGATGGTGACACATAGCGGGAATGAAGGTGTCTCGATCACCAATAATATTTTTTTGCTGTCGACGGATCCACATGTTGACATGCCTGACACTGCTAGTGTTCAGCATGCATGTGTGGAGATTGCTTCTATTCTTCAAGGCCTCAACTTGCATCCTATCACCATGGACGAGATCTGGAAATGCATTTGCCAACATGATGGCTATGAACCTTTCTCATGGCAATCTATCCTGGTCAAATTGGACATTCCAGAGGAGAAGATGCAGCCGCTGCTTTTGGTGATGGCATGCACGAGTAATGAATGTTGTGAGTGATTATGTTAATTTTTTGTCTAACTACACTAAAATCATGTTGTTCGCAGTTAGTACATGATTCAGGATCAGATTGGTTCTCTCGCTAGCTCGGAACTTCGTTTGTGTTTTGGCCCCCACTAAAATCATGTTGTTTGCAGTTAGTACATGATTCAGGATCAGATTGGTTCTCTTGCTAGCTCGGAACTTCGTTGTGTTTTGACCCCAATGTTTTCTTTCAGATCAGTTCTCTCACTAGCTCGGAACTTCATTTGTGTTTTGGCCCCAATGTTTTCTTGAATATGGTTACGGAGTTTCGGTTTTCTCACTAGCCTCGAAGTTGGCCTGTATTTTGGTTCCATCATTTTGTTGAATACAGTTACTGGTTCTTCCCTGACCTCAGCTGCTGCAAGTCTAGTAATGTCATAAGAGCAGGTGCGTTTTTTTGGCTCTGTTTCTTTCACAATGCCATGAATACCAGTTGTTCGAGTTCGTCGTTCATGCCCAAAACTATCCGCTGAACAGAAAGCAGCTTGTCGTGACCGGCAAGAAGCTTTGACGACTGCAATCGATGAAGCAAAATCTGCCTACATAGAAGAAGCTGCTCACATCACGGAGACTCATGGGCGGTAAGTTTTCAAGTTGGTCATTGTTTTATCCCCTCCAGCTGATTCTTTTTAGTTCTCTGAAATGGACACAGAGCCAACTCTTCTTGAAGAGTTGGATGCTCCGTCAGCGGCAAAGCATCAATTCATGGAACACTTTTGTCAGAGTGAAGCATATGGAAGCCAACGAAGGTAAATTTACGCACCCCATTTGAATTTAAGCGGCTGATATAATTGAAGGTTGTGAAAGGGGTGATAGGATCAATCTCACCAAGTTCATTGCTGAAAACAGGGATGAGCTTGTTCGTGAGCACTCACAGCTGACGCCGGCAGAGAAACAAGCCCTCAACGCAGAAGTTGTTGAAGCGAGGCAACGAAAAAGTCAGGCAGCACGCACTAACCCCAAGGCTACTCGACACGATATGAATGTGACATTTATGTCCATGGACCATGAAGTAAGTCATCTTTGCATCATTCATAAATTCATATTCATTAATATCTTTCTCAGTGGATGGCACTTTGTGCTCGAATGGGTGCTGAAGGCTTCTACATGGCTGTTTGTGGCAGTATCAAAGACCTCTCTGAACCGAAGATTTTTTTCACACAGAAGGCAGAAAAATTTGTCCAAGATGTTTTGAAGGTAGAACCTCATCATCTTGGTCTCAAGCTCGAGTCATTCATTGTCAGCGGCCTCAGTAAGTTTTTTCCTTGAATTCACAATACATAACTTAATATTTGATATAGATGAACACATGATAACTACTCGTCCACCTCCATTGAACAAACTCGTCAGTGACTGCCATACATTGATTCAGGAGGAACTTGGCAAGTGGTTCATTGTCTTCCGATGTGCATTCAATGATTGACGTGATTCTCCAGAGGCAATTGCCTTGGAGAACAACATTAAGGGCAAGGTTGAGATGAATTACACTAACTATGAATGAAACATTGTTGAGCATCACGGCTTTGCGCTTGTGAACTGGCCCTTGTCCGGTCATATTCAGAATCCTTCGAAAGTCGGCGGAAGAGCTGAAGTGAAGAGATTACTTGATGCGCTGAAGTCCCGGTCTTGTGAGTGGGTCAAGCTCACAGATGAAGAGCGTGTTGTGCACATGAAGGATAACCAAGAGCACCATGCATGAGGGGAACCCGTATATGTTGCCAGAAAGGCCAGGAAGACTACCGCCGCCTCACAACACAAGAGCAACGAGATAGTTGATTCAAGCAGTGATGATGACACTAGTAGTGACAGCGAGTAGCATAGTATACCAAACTTGATGGTTTTCTTCAAGTAAAGCTATAAAAATACTTACATTTACATGTAAAACTCTACATAAGTCAATATAGACAAGGTTAGAGAAAGAGCCGCTTGAAAATGGTTGAATTTGAAGGGTATTTCGTGCTCATCGTCGGGCATGATGAGCACGAAGGTTTGAAGGACGTGGTGTCATGTGGGAGAAGCATCGGGAAGTTGCCGCCATTCTTGGCTTTGTCTGATAAGGGAGATAAACCTTATCTAGTATATCTATTATATCTTATCTTACAGGTTTTTCTACCCTACCTAAGTGACTGCTGAGTGCTGTGGAACTCGCTGAAGTACCGCAGCATAGACTTACCCCCCTAGTTAGTAACAAACATCACATCACATGTCCATTACTAAATACGGTTATTAATGGTGTCACACAGGTGGAGTGGCTGTACTAAGTAATGCATCACATTCCCAAATGGAGATGTCCAATATAGTGGATAATTACAGCAAAGGATGTATTGTGTTAAGGTCGTGCTCAAGGGAGAGGTTACTCAAAGGGCTTCGGCTTCAGCTCGTGTGCTGTGCCCCTTACCCAAGTATGTGCCCTTAATTTCCGGGGACAGAGGGGAAGTCCGACGGAAGTCCGGGGAATTCCGGAGGACAGAAGTTGGTGGAGTTTGGCGGAACTCTGGAAGACTATGTGGGGACAGAGTAAGGCTACTATGGAAATCTGGAGTAGAAACAGAACAGAGGTTAGACTACCCTAAGGTAGAGCCAGAGGATTAGTCCAAAGGTTTAACCCCTAAGACTCGGAGGTGGACAAGAGGTGAGACTCAAGTCCGGAGATTGCAGGAATGAGCAGAACTAAGATGATATTTGAACTGAGGAGTTCCGGAGTATTACAGGGGTTTATATACTGTAGGTATCATGTAAGTAAATCAGTCAGCAAAGGTAAGGGCTATGTACAAAGCATGTGGAAAGTCTATGTTAAGACCATGCTCAGGGGTAAAGCGGAGTCTGAGGGGCTTGGCTTCAGCTCGTACGCTGCGCCCCTTACCCGAGTACGTGCCCCTAATTTCGTATTGTAGTCCGACTCGAGTTCTACGAGCTCTGACAGGATGTCGGAGCGGAGGTCCTCTGAAGGAGGACCGACGGACTACTAGGTGAGCACGAGAAAGTTGGGCGGGGGTTGTTCCACCCGACAGGAGGGAAGTGGGAGACTACTGTGGTCGGAACCAACAGTAGAAGTGGAGCAGAAGGAACTGCTTGGATGAAGTCCGAAGTAGAGCAGAACAGAGGGGATGGATGCGAGAGTGCGGGGTCTAGTTCCGACGCATGGGAAGTCAGAGGAGCGGAGGGACAGAGGAACAGGGGAATGGAGGAGTGGAGGAACGGGGGAATGGAGGATTGGAGGATTGGAGGATGGCTGACCTAGGGAGTCAATCCCCTAGGCTGGTCTTTAACAGGAGTTGACTTAGGATCAGGCCCAAGTCAAAGAACAGAAGAGCAGGGCTTAGAAAAGGTAATATTCAGACTGAGTATCTACAGACAGATGTACATATGTTTATATACTCTAAGTAATTAGCATAGCATAGCAGGAGGCTATGTGCTGAGTGTACAGGATAAGAAGATGACTGAGACATACGAGAATAAGGCTCAGAGAAAAGTATGTACACGACAGATCAATAATTGCTAGGGTATAGGGATTACCGGGTACCCGAAAAGCGGAACTATGATGCTAAACGGGGATAAGATAGGCCGCATCCAAACCCATCTACATCACATGATGTGACATTTTTGTGATGTTCTGTTACATCGTGTGACCTTCTTTGAGCGCCGCTGTACATTTCTCAACATAAGTGTCCAAAGGATAGGATTCCGAGTCATACGGTACTAGGGATGGTATGAATTTAATGAATGTTACTAACCAAACCAGTGTCTGTCAAATCTCGCATAATTGTTTCAGGTAAAGTTCGATGACCACGGTACTTCTTCGAGGCCCATGCTGCTTGCCTACCATCGAGTCCTTTTCTATAGGCGTCCATGAATCTCAACGAGCGAGTGGAAAAACTGGTGTCGCATAGTGTCAGCACACTGCTGCATCTTGGAATCAAGATTCACAAATAGGGACTCACCAGCAAATGGCAAGCAGTGGAACTGAGTCCAAAGACTGAAGGACATTCTGTTCGAGATCGGCTTCTTTCGACGACGCGGGAAGTTTGCAATAGATCCGTTTTGAGTAGCCCCAACATTGCTCGATAAAATTCAGCTCACAGTGAAATTTAGGAAAGAAAATTGTATGAAAGCCACGGGCTTCACAAGCTGACTTGAGCAGTGACTTGACACCAACAAAGTCAGGCTCATTGTAGAGCATTCTTCGACAGCAGCAACGTGTGGCTCCCTTCTCGCACCGAAATTTTGGGCATTCTGCCAGAATTTTCAGTGCCCCCTCATAGCCTTGCTCTTCAAGTATCACTCCCATCCCTTTAAACACTCCAGCACACTTGTGGCCCTCCGGATAATACAGTGACTGCGGCGATCCATCTGCAAACTTGCCATCACCCATCGGAACCTTTTTTTTCAACAGCGCACCATCTGCGCCATGCACAGCCTTTCCATTTTCGCCAACTATATTCACCTCCACGCCCCAATTTTTGGGCCGCCGTCCGTCGCCCTAATCTGTACCGTCCCACTTGTCCCCATCCCTTGGGGAAAATTTAGGCATATGCCGTGCAGACAGTGCATCGTCCGCACGCTTCAGGTGCATCAATGCATTGTCAAATACGATAATGTGGTCCTCATCAGGATAGTGTCGCTCAAGGATATCAATGGCATTGGAAGCCTGCTTGATGATATCCTCGCATGTGAAATACCCCTCGCATGCCTTTCCGGCCTTAAACAGGACCTGCGTGGACTCGGTTCCATCGGGAGAATGTAGCCATCCATAATCGGGGCTAATCATGTCGGCGACCATCAGCGAGGCACCCTCTCCTTCGGTGTGAGGTATGGCTGTTTTACTTTTGTGAACCCATCTGATTTTTCGACAGTCGTTGGCATAATAGGTGGACTCGTCATGATTCCAGATGATGACTTTGCAGGTACCTTCAAGTTCTGGGTGGACAGGGCACTCATTGCCATCAGTCGCATAAATTTGTGTGTGAGACAGCAACTCGGCCCAAATGGGGAGGAAGACTGCTTGTCGATAGTGCACCACATCAACCCTCTCATGTCCATCAATGGACTGGCCTGTCGGAGTCTTTGACCACCTGTATCCGATGTGCTTCATCCAGCGCTGTGCTGTCGCAAGGGATATGGTTTTAGTTAGTTTTAACCATGATTTTACCTCCACTTGATCAAGGTATTCCACTATGTCCATTGCTCTAACATACTTCCCAATGCCCTGTAGATGTAGCAGTAGTTCCTGTGAAAAGTCTTCATCTTCCAGTATGGATGAGTTCCACGTCCCATATACATTCATTGGAAGGTCCCTTCTGTCCTTGCAATAAGCTCGGACCCACTCACGAAGACGGCCAGCTAACCACGGTCCCTTCTTGTAAGCATGTGCAGTTTTCAACGAGGCTGCCATCCAGCCAGGGTACTTATTGGCTGGATCTGTGTAGTTCCACAGAAACATTCGCATTTTTTCAAGACGACTGCGAAGAAGTAAATCAAGCTTAGGATCCTTGTACCCTCCCGTGGGACGGGGAGGCCGGAGGGTCAATTTAAGATCAACTAATGCAAGTCTAGCTTCATCAACAGTTGGGGGAGGTATAAATTGGCCAGCGAGGACTGGGGTATGGGTCCATGGAAGTCCATCTTTGTCCACTTCTTCATCATCCTCAAAATCATGAGATGTGTCATCCTTGTCCTCAGGCCCAGCAAGACATGACTCCATTACATTGTTAATTGATGCTAAGGGACCATTTGCAGTGTGTGAGAGTGGTGGATTTGTAGGGTAGGCTTCAGAGAAGGGTGCCATCTTTAGTTTAATTTTAGTCTTAGTACTCCAGCCAGCACAATAAAAATTGATGTTTCCTTACATTCTCATCACTTGTGTGGCTTAACTTTCTCTTCTTCTGGCTGCTGTAATTGTAGGCTTTCAAATTTGCAATTCGAGAAGACCTTTTGCGAGGCATAATGGTTTTGGCGATGCCGAGTTATTGGTGCATTGACATCGCTGTCACACTGTACAGCCACAATGTAACAAGGCAGCAGTACCTCAATCACTGTAAAGACTACTACTCATTCACAAATGCAAAATAAGGAATTCTGTTCCATCAGATTGCCCGCACCATACATGCGCACAATCTGATGGAATGGATTCTCTTAAAAGTGTTTCTACAAATATCCTTAGGCATTGTAACGCAAATGTCATGAAAAGTCATGTGATCTACGTGTATTTGAATGAGGCCTATCTTAGGACCAGTTGAGTGGTTCCTAGTCTAGGGGTGGACCAGTGAGGCGGTCGGACGGATTAATAGTCGGGTGGGACAACACAAGCGGAACTGAAGGAACCAAACAGGTCGGAAAAGCGGAGGGAGTAGGAGTAGGGTTGGGTGGACCAATAGGGCGGAGGAGTGGAACCCCAGATAGGGTTGGATGGAAGGGGTATGGGGTTGGAGGACATAGGGGTAATGTCAGAAAAGCGGAATGGAGTCGGGCAGAGGTAGCAGGGCTAATCCTGCTGAGATGCACTTCGTGCATTGTTGGGGAAGGAGGAATGAAGCGGACGGGGAAACAGGGGGTCGGACCAGGGGTGGGGATGTTCATGGGTGGTATTGGAGGTGCTCAGATCCTGTATATGACAGTCTATTAGTAAGTGTAACGGATCAAAGCAGTGAAGTCGGAAATGAAGTAAGAATGGATGGATCAGTAAGCATAGCGGAATAGGACATAACCAGTTACCAGAGCAATAGCTAATCTAAAAGGAGTTAGGGGTGAGTGTGGAGATGAAGGTGGAGTGCCTGGGCGGAATAGTAAGACGGAGGACTGGACTTTAATGAAGTAGATTCGGAATTCCGGATCCGGAGGTATGGGATATGACATATTGGAATATAGTGGATAACTACAGAATAAGATGTATCGGACTTTTAGGATAATGAGCCATAAAGATACATCCTTCTACCTATATCTGGTGGATCATCTTCGACCTCAACCAAGAGATTGATCAGCTGGTTGGCGCCAATAAGTAAATGATCCCTTGCAGCCTCATCTTCAGGTAGTGTCTCATTTCCAATGTGCAAGGGCCCAAGCAGACTAGATTTAGCAAGGGTGTATGAGTGGACATGTGCCTCCCAATCACATTGGATTGTCTCCAAGGGCATGGGGTCTATACCCCAGAATGGTGTGAAATTGAGGTGGATCTGGTCATATTCATCCAGTAGCTGGACATTGTGTTTTTTGACATAGGCCCACCTGTAAAACCACTGTCAGTTTACACAACATTTTGGGCCCTTACAATGGACAGTTTGACACGGAGATGATGAAGCGAGTAGGAGAAAAAAATGCAGCAGGAAAGGTACCCGAAGCAAGGCAGAAACAGGGAAGAAAGGCAGCTGAGCTTGTGTGACAGCAGGTAGAAGTTGGTAAGACTTTAGATGATGGCACAACTCAGAGACTCTATCGCAAGTAACCAGATACCAGTCCGGATAGATTGGAAGAATACTAAGTAGCTTTCAGTACAGTTTTCACGACTCTAAATACTATCGCGATGTATGAAGCTTATGATATAATAGATAACAAATAGATAGGTAAAATAGAAAAGCACAATCACTTGAAACAGCGATGCTCGGGCCCCAAGACTTGGTCGTCTCTTAACTCTATCAATCCCTCAAGTCTGGGTGGTCCTTCGTTGTTAGGGAGCAAGCACCACATACCCCCCTCCAGGGCATGCAATGCCCTTACTTCTTCTTAGGGCTCTTAGGGTTTCCTTGCTGCTGGTGTTGTAAACCTTAGGCACAGGAACCCCAACAGAGGTGGCATCTTCCTTGTCATTGATCTCCATGTGGGCCAGAGGAGTTGGAGTCTGGATGGAGGATGTCCGAGTGGATGAGCTGTTGGTCCCACTGAAACTGGGTCCTTCCCCGTGGTTGTATGGGTATTTGTAGGGTTTAAAAAGTCCGGTTAAGTCTGGTCTTTTGACCAATTTTCAAAAGACCGGACCCAAACCGGTCTGCATAAACTCAACCTTGTACTGCATACTGCAACCTGGACCGAACTCTTAGAAACCGGTCGAGCATGGTAGCAATGAGGTTCGCAGTCAGTTGCCGACCGGTTGCAGATGCAACCGGTCCATAACTGTGTATGACTGGTTAGGACTGGTTAGGACCGCTCCAGAAGTCTACATAGGGCAAAATCGGTAACTACTATACAACATGTTTGCAGGCGATGTACAGGTGCCGGGTTACATAGCCTGCCAGAGTATCCCAGCACCACACATCCAGCTGAGCGGATGTGCAATTTTCTTCTTCATTCATTTTTCGTTCATCCACCAGCATTGTGTTTGGCATAGCTTGTGCATCCTCACTTGTACTTACTATCGTTCTTTGCTCCCACCCACCACTCCCCTTAATTATGAACTATAGTCTCTTGCTTTGTTTTAATCTCGTTGTCAATGGGATATAATTGTCAAATGTCAGTTTATCGATTACCTTGGCCTGTCACTCAAGAGTCAATGCACGATCTGTTACAATGGCGCTATATTTTCTTTTCTCTTTCTTTCTTTACTTACTCATTGAGTCTCATGACTGCTTATAAACACGTCCAACACATGAACACTTACCTATATGCTTACTCATTATGCTTACACAGATGATTACTCATACTATTCCCTAATTGGTTGATCCAACATCATACCATTTCTCATCTCCTTTTCTGATTGGCTGATATCGTCTTCCTATTCTCACTTACCTTTCTTGATAGGGTCATCTACCTACAGACCGGCCCTAAACTACCTTCTTGTTACATATATATATCATGCTTCCTGTACTTGTATTCCTTAACTTGAATCTACTAGGTTCTCTCCTGATACTTCGAGTTCACTGATCTAGCTGCCTTTCAGCAGACTAGCCTGAATACTTGATCTAGTGAGCCCTTGACACTCAACTAGCCAGAACCCTTGATCTTAGAACTCATGATATGCTTCAGCCTTGATCATCCTTTATTGGAATGCAGAAGAAGAACTATCCTAGTTGTAACACGATCAAACTTGTAAGCAGGTTTTCCCGCCCTCCCAGCAGCTCCACCTGCTTGCGTCCCACCCTGAGCTAATGCTCAGACCAGCCCAACACCTCAGATTGTGTCACCCACTCTTTATAGCACCAGACAAAGCTGGAAATTATCTGTACCCTGCAAACAACTTTTTTCAGGTGGTGCAGAGACCACCACTGACCATTGCTCCTGTCTCGGTGCTGAACACTTTGAAAAATTACAGATGCTCAAATTCTCATGGCGCAAGTCTCTTGCTGACTCTGCTCAAGCAAACTCAGGTATTATTGAGGAAGTTTTGCTATATGAGTACAAAGATTTCCTTCTTGTGGATGAGGGCATGGTGCAGTGGGAGAATGAAGCTGGCGAAGTCGAGACCATTTTGTAGTAGTCTGTACTATCCAAGTCATGTTCATTTGCATGGGTAAATATTTGTGTTTCATGCAACCGGTCCTGGTATAGACCGGTTGTGGTTGACTTTTCATCGGTTTGATGTTAGAGGTCAAACAAGGCAACCGGCAACTGCAAGATGTCAAATAAAGGGAAACCAAGACCAAAAATTTGGTCTTAAAAAGTTGCGGTACAGTTTGGTCTGCAGTCTTTGACTGGTTGCACAACTGGACTTTTAAACCTTAGGTATTTGTTATACTTGTCCCCGGAGCTGAAGCTTGGACGGGTACATTTGCCCTTTCACTTGGTGATAGTGCACTTGCGCCACTCATGCTTTCTCTTGGTAGTCTCAAGGTTCTGCCACAACACTTCTTCTAGGAGTTTGATGTGCTGGGGGTTAATCCAGCGTCTGCCCTCAGGAAGCTGAGGAGTAGGGTGATTGTTGGGCTCTGCAGGTATGTTGTCCCTGACTAAGTCGGTGAAGGATGGTGATGGGCCAGTGATTTCAGGGCTGTGGGTCCTTTCCTCTGTGAATTGTGAGGTACCAGAGGCAAGAGATTGCATGGTGTTGAATGCCAGGGCAAACTCTCCATACCCTGTGGGCATAGCACAATCCACAGCAGTGCCAGCCCTTAAATGAGCATTGTATTTGAGGTACACGTGGAGGAGGTCAATTACAACCATCAAATCTCCCTCTGCGAGCACATTGGGAAGGATGAAGTGACAGTTGCTGACACAAGTGAGTAGTGGTACCATGATAGCTGTGATGAGGAGGATGCGAGGTGATATAATGAGGCCGAACATAGTGGAAGGAGTGAATGGGGGAAATGATGAGGGAGGTTTGTCGATGTGGGTTTTATACATGTTGACGTCAAATGAGAGGTGCCCTAACAACACCTGGGGTTCTTCTACAGAATGACCCCACTCCCTTCCCGAAGATCTGAAACATTATTGACCCCGAGTAAGCTAAAATAATCCTTTAGTGCCTCCAACTCAGCTATCTGTTCATAGGGTAACCAAGTAATATCTCCAGTTTTCCAGAGTATTTCAAACTGGGCGTCACTGCGGGTTCTGGAGTGAGACAGGATTCTATTGATCGCCCATTCTGACTCGCCATCTTCAAATTTGGCCACTTGATTTTCCATTCATCCAGGGAACAATCAATCATTGTTAGGAACATGAATCCTGAGGTATGATGAGTGTAAAATGGGGTGTACCCCGTTGTTTAAGCTGAGAAGGGAGTTCAAGTTTGAACGTGTTATTACAATAGTCTTTGATGATTTGGTAAGGACCAATGTATTTGGGTTCTAGTTTCCAGGCGGTCCCTTTGGGTAAAGATATGTTCTTGGTCAATACATATATGAGATCACCCAGCACTAATGGGCATATCCTTCTGCATTTATTCACATCAAAGGTTTGCTTTACTCTTGCTCCCAAGATGGTGTCATGGGCGGCCATGGTGGCCATCTTCATTCATTGAGCAAATACCCTTACTCCTGGGTACTCATCTGACCCTGCCGTTTTCCATATCATGGCTCTAGGTAGTTGTCTGTAATTCGCTACAAATAGAGGTATGTTTGTAGAATCAGACTTTGTGAGATTGATTGCAAACTTGATAGCGGGAAGTCTTGACACCCAGTCCTTCTGATTAGGGGTAATGCAAGATCTCAACATCTGCCCAATGGTTCGATTAGCGCATTCGGTTGCCCCATCTGTTTGTGAGTGATAAGCACTTGACATCTTCAGTGTCACTCCTATGAGCTGGTTAAAGTGAGTCCAAAAATTACTTGTAAACAGTATGTCCCAATTGCTGACTATGGCTTTTGGCAGTCCATGATACTTATATACTTCCACGAACATCAGTTCAGCTATTTCCTTAGCAGTGTAAGTGGTTCTGCTTGGTACTAAGTGAACCATGGCAGTTAACAAGTCAATTATGACGGTTATAGAGTCATATTTGCCATTGTGATTGTACAAGGTAGGTAAGGGCTCCATGAAGTCAACCCCTATTGCTTCCCATGGATATGATGGGACTTTCAATGGGTTTAACAACCCGTATGGTCGTTGGTTTGACAGTTTGCTGCATTGGCACGTTCAACAGGACTGACAAAAGGCTTGTACATCGGGTACCATGGTTTTCCACCAAACATGTTCCCTTAGGTACAATAGGGATTTATCAGACCCCAGGTGGGCCATTAAAGAGTGCACTTGATTGATTATGACCTCAATGAGTTGTCGGTCACCAACCTTGATATCAGGTATGCACAAAGGCTTCCTATCGTTCAGTTTAACTCTAATTAAACTGTCTTTTACTTCAAAGTTATGGTACTCTTTGGGAGAGGTAAGTACTTTGTTGAACATTACATCGCCCTCATACTGGTGTCTCATATTTTCCAGTAATTCTGTTTCATGTGGGTAGGTCACGGGAATTACTTCTGGGTGAGCTATTCCTTCAATTGCCATATTGCTGCTGACTGCTTTTGTTACAGGTTCAGGTTCTGTGCTTGGTACCCCCCCCCCCCTCCATTTGCGAGGTAAGGGGTGGCACTGCAACTGCCCTTGGGCCCTTCAGCATGAAGTGTCCACACATTAGCCTAGCGAATTCCGCACTTGACTCCGTCCTACCAGGCGCTACCACCATAGGGTCTCCCAACCCCACTGCCAGTGCAGCAGGTGAAAGGACCCCCGGAGCTAGTATCACCATAGGCATCCCCACAGCTCCTGGTTCCTGACCCTGAGGTACGGGTTCCTGATGCACATGGCCCCATCATTCCAAAACATGGGCGCTGCGCTGAGGACCCGACGTCCCAGCCTCAATGCCCACCAAGACTGGCATACTGACCAAGTCTGAAGTGTCAGTAGGTGGCATGTTTTCATTGAACATTACATATTTGCTGACAGCATGCACCATCCCCACAGCATCAAAGTCATACATCCTGGACAATGCATTGGGCAGAACATTGTGCACCCTAGGCACATACTCTACTGTAAAATCATATTCACCCAGCTTCTCCATCCACCATGCCTGATGTCCAGACAGATTCTTTTGATTTAGAATATAAATCAAACTCTTATTGTCCATCAACAGGATCCTCATCACTGGCTCTAGAAATTTCAGTTTCTTTTCACTCAAAAAAAGCTGTTCACACTCAAGGATTTGCACCACCTTCTATACGTGTTAAATATGTTCCTCCAGCGAGTCCGAATAAATTATTATGTTGTCAAGGTAGACGTCCATAAAGATCCCAATATATTCCCTGAATATATGATTCATTACCACTTGGTACGTTGCTGGTGCATTGCAATCACCTTGTTGCAACACGTGACTGACCATGTTACCATCAGGCGTTGTCATTGCCGTCTGTGGCACATGCTCTGGTATCACTCTGATTTGTTCATAGGTGTCCTGCCCATCCATCAACAATTGATATGGTTTCTGAGCCACATGTTGCAATATCCCCTCCATGTCAGGTAAAGGTGATGTCAGCTTCCGTGTATTTTTATTATGCTCTCATAGATCAATGATGGTTTGGTCAGCTAATGACCCCGTATCAATCAGTGCACACACTGGACATCTGTTGATGTGCACCACTATCATGACGGGCTTTGGTATTGCCTGTGCCAAATCTCACGTTGTAGTGGAATTTCACTGCAGAGATGGGTAGGTACCCTGTGGCACCTGCACTCCATTAATGCTAACACCTTCCCACAGCTGATATTCATCTATCATCTTGCACGCTCACACTGGCTCTCTGCAGTCGAGTATTCCTCCCAGTGCTCAACTCAACGTCTGCTGGGGTTCCATTAATGGGTCAAACATCCCAGTAAGTCCCATATATCGGCCCCAATTGTTAAGGTCGTGCTCAAGGGAAAGACTACTCAAAGGGCTTCGGCTTCAGCTCATGCGCTGCACCCCTTACCCAAGTATGTGCCCTTAATTTCCGAGGGGCAGAGGGGAAGTCCGACGGAAGTCTGGGGAAGTCTGGAGGTCAGACATCAGGGGAGTTTGGCAGAACTCTGGAAGATTATGAGAGAACAGAGTAAGGCTACTACAGACAAGTCCGGAGTAGAAATGGAACAGAGTTTAGACTACCCTAAGGTAGAGCCGGAGATTTAGTCCTAAGGTTTAACCCTAAGACTCAGAGGTAGACAAGAGGTGAGACTCAAGTCCGGAGGAGCAGAAATGAGCAGAACTAAGATGATATTCAAACTAAGGAGTACCGGAGTACTACAGGAGTTTAGATACTGTAGGTACCATGTAAGTAGATCAGTCAGCAAAATAAGGGCTATGTACGAAGCATGTGGAAAGTCTATTAGTAAGTGTATAACAGATCAAAGCAGTGAAGTTGGAGATGAAGTAAGAATGGATAGATCAGTAAGCATAGCGGAAAGGACATAACCAGTAGCTGGAGCAATAGCTATTCTAAAAGGAGATAGGGGTGAGTCCAGAGATGAGAGTGGAGCGCCAGGCGAAATAACAGGATGGAGAACCAGGCTTTAGAGGGGGAGATCCAGAATTCCGGATCCAGAGGTATGGGATATGACACCAATCAAACTCCACCAGCTCATCGTTTAGCTGCAGGGCCACCCACCACACTTGACATTTATACCAATGATCAGGGTTCCATTTCTTCTGATGGACCATCCCTCATGTTATCTGTACTTGAAATGAAAGTGCGGCATCTACTACCTCATAATCTCCTCCCTTCAATTGGGTACAGGAGAATCATTGTGATGGTAAACTTCTCCATTCATCTTCTGTTGGTTGGCTGAACATATCTAGCCATCGTATCACCTTTTCACTGATGGGGTCCCCCATGGGGGGTTTTCTGATAGTATGTTTCCGTTCCCTGGTCTCCATCTGCCATTTGTTATGACCCAAGCTCACTCCTTGGTATATCCAGTATGCTTTGTTGATACAGAAGTCAGGGTTCTCCAACTGGGTTCTTCGAACGATGAAGCCCCCTGAGCCTCCTGGGAGCAGGTGATCAACAATCTGATACTTGTCGTCTCCCTGATTCCAGACACAAAATCAATCTGGGTCATCCCAAGGTATTTGCTGGTCTTCACCCTTAAGATCCCCAGGATACTGAATCCCAGCCAACAGTTCCCCTGCCCGCCTGGCCAGAGGGTCTTGAAATGTGTATGACAGGCTGACATTCCCTAGGGGTTTTCTAATCGTTTCAACAGTGGTTTCCTCTAGAAAAAATCCCAACTGCCTCTAGGTAAGCCCCCTTGGCAGGTTCTGTTATTTCTGATAGTCTCCTCATTCGCTCTTCATTGCTCTGGGCAATGTGAACCCAAAAGCTGGGTATTCCAGGGGGTCTGTTAGGTACATCCGATTTGACATGTATATTCTTGGGGCACTGTCATGAGACATGTCCTAGTTCCCCACAAATAAAGCATCTGCCCTCTGCCCAGCGATGGTCCCGCTCTGCTGGGCTCAAGGCATCTCCTGGTCTATTGACATTCTTGCCAGCTCCTCTGTCGAAACCCCCTCCATTGGGCTTATGGGTCCTGTTATTATCCAGGCAATTCACTTGCCTTTCCCTTGGTCTTCTAGACGACCCTGCAGGTCCATTGCTCTTAGCTTTGAACGTGGGTCTCACAGGAGTGACGGCATTGGATCCTACTGTTATGGATGTTTTTTCCTCCCGACTGATTTGTCTATCTCTGTCTCTTTCTTGAGGGACAGAGTGAGCTATCTCAATGATTTCTGCTGTGGCCTGGACCTCCTTAAAGGTAAATATTTCCGGATTTAACTCCTTTTTCCAGAGTTCCTGCTGAATCTCAGTGTTCAGCCCAGTCCATAGACAAGTCACCCAGTCTCAATCGTCAATGTCCCCAATCATATTCCAGAGCTCGTTGAGTTCATATATGTAGTCTCATACGGGTTTGTCATTTTGAAAGCAGCATTTCAACTTCTCTCTTTGTTTTGTCCTGAAATTTATGGGAAAACAATAATTGAACATTTCAGTAGAGAATTCCTGAAGCTGCCAATGGTAAGGGTCCCCCAACACCTCCTGTATGTAAAACTCATGCACTTTGCCTTTTAGATAGTGCAAAAGCACAAAGACACACTTTTTCGACTTCACCTTACTATCTTCCACATAGGCTGTTCCTTCAGTGATGAACCTATGGAACACCCTAGAGTCTATGGTGCCATCATATGATGTAGGTGGGATGGGCTTCAGGGTAGTCTCACTCTTCCATTTGGGTCTTCTTTTCTTCAATTTTTTCCTATCCCTCTTCCTTGTAGCATTGCCACTGGCTGAGCTACTGTCTGTGCTTGAGTCATCCAAGCTGTTTGACGAGGTTTCTGTTTCAGAATTGGAGGGATCTGGGCTTCCTCCATCTCTATTCCCAATTCTCCCCAGAGCCTGACCTATGTAAGACTTAGGCGCCACCTGGTGAACTGGTTCCATCGCCTGGGGGGTTTGTCTCCTTTCGCATTTGTTTGATGCAGGGTTGACCACCTTGTCTACTAACCATTTGACAGGGTCCGCTAGGCAAGTCCTCTTATAGGGCTTTTCAGCCTGATTCTTACTTTTCATAAGTTCTTTGATCCTTTTCTCATATTCTTTGAGCAGCCGATCTTCTGCTTTAGCAACTGCGGCTTCAATGGCCTTCTTCCTTTCGGCCACTTGAACAAAGGTGTCCCCCAGTTGTTTCCCCTGATGTGGTTCTCCAGCATGTCTCAGTTCCTCTGCCTGCGTCTGACACAGTTGTGGACTGCCTTCTCATTCCTTTTGCTAGCTTATAGGATGCTAGAGCCGCCCTTTGCTCCTCTATATCTATCTCCTCTTCCAAGGTAATAGCGCCCCAGTTCTGAGGGTTCACCCCCTTTCCCTTTGAGGGTCCTTCTCCCCTTGACTCTGCATCTGAGGTCTCGGGGCTGGTAGTATTCTGATTAATACTGCCTCTTCGTTTTTCTAGTCTCTAACATTCTGATTTTGTGAGTCTTCGTTCAGCTTCGCTAATTACCTTCTTCTGTTCACTGGTCAGAGATTCAGGTGTTTTTGCCCCTGGCTTTCTCTTGCAATGGACCGTGGTCCATGTGTGGTCATCACCACTCTCAGCTTCACTGGACTGCTCACTTCTTTCGTTAGCAGTCTCAAACATCATATTCCTGTTCGTTTTTTCAGCAGGTGAGCTAGTCTCATTGCCATCTGCGAGTTCTACGCTTATCACAGCATCTACAGCTATGTTATTCTCCTGGTCAACCAAATGGTTGTTCCTGGGGCTACACACACTAACCACGTCGCTATACAAGCAGATGGATTTAGGTATGAATAAGGTCTCTCTTCCAGTCTCACTTTACATGGACCACCCCACTGAGGACAAGGGGGGTACCCCAGAGTTGGGCAGCACAGCCTTTAGGCTTGGGCCCTCCACCGGGGTCTTCATGCTAGATAGTAGGTTAAGGACAAGATTGCCGAACTCATTACTTACCTTAAAATTCTTTTCTTCTGCAGGTGTGCCAACAGAGCTGGCTCTAGTGCATGTTCATGATTGGAGATTATAGGTAGAAGTCGAAGTCATTATGTGTGTATTTGGTTTGTTCGAGTAACGTGGTGGGCCAGACCAATTTGTTGAAGGGTTATATATAATTTTTTGAAAGAGTCAAGCAGAGGAAATGGGTTGGTTGAAGGTTAAAAAATATGTGACGGCAGGTAGAAGTTGGTAAGTGTTAGAGACCATGCTTGGACGGAGAAGCGGAGGGGTTGGGGCTTGGCTTCAGCTCTTTTGCTGTGCCCTTAACCGAGTACGTGCGCCAAATTTGGAGTGGGTCTGACAATGTCCGATGATAGGACAGGCAGACCACTTTGGTCCGCTTGGTGGTTCAGGAGGTAAGTGCTACTAGCGGTAATCCGACTAGGAGCGGAGCGGGGGAGGTGGAGGAAGTTTATTGGGATGGAGGGGAGTAAGGGGATTGATTGGTGGGGTTGGAGAGGTAAGAGTGAATACTTAGAGTGTGGCTCTATGTTGGAGCGGAGGGTTGGAGGTGACGACAAAATAAACCTGTGTCCAGAGAGGGAGCAAAGTCCTATGGACAATTCCCACTAGTAGAGACAGCAGGAAGACAAGTAATATTAAGACTGGGGGGTAGCTAAGTACAGGATATGTTTTTATATAGGCAGTGACTAGCTAGTCCTTGGTATGAGGCTATGTACTGAGCATAATTTGTAAGTAGACACAGGTGAAAAACATAAGTTGGAGTGGATATCAATATGTACGCATCGGATCAGTTAGTCAAGTGGTTATAGAAAGTACTGGTGATCTGGGAAGTAAGTGTTATGTGCAAATGGGGAAAGTGTATACCTAAATGGGGAAGGAGTTTACAGTAGAGTGGAAATGATGTGGAAGGAAACTGACAAGGTGGTCGAGTGAAGCCATAGGAGTGGATGCGGGAGCCGACTGGGAGGAGCAGAGGGCGGATGGAGTGGAGGTGGTAGGAAAGTGGGGAAAGTATGAGGTCGGGCGGAGCAGATATTAACATTGTTGGAGTGGTTGGATCAGGTATATGACAGTATCCCCCCCTTAGGGCTGAGCCCTCGAGGCCAAGAGGACCAAAGAACTGGAACACAAGGTGATGAGAAGAGTTCTGAGAAAATTGCACTAGTATAAAAAATGGTAAGGAAAATTTTCTGAACCCCACTTCCCATTTTCCTGGTATCAATACCCTCAACTCTATCACTATGTCCAAGAACGCATCCGGAGACAAGAAGTTGACCTGTGAGCTCGCGGAGGAAATGGTGGCCCAGCTCATGGTGCTGGAGAGACAGGCTGTGGAGGAGGAGGCTGAGGCTGCGCGCCAGCGTGTGGAGGAAGAGTGGAGGATGCAGGAGGAGATGGAGAAGAGGTGGCAGGCAGAGCTGTGGCAGAAGGTTGCAGAGAACTGCTGTGTACTGCAGGAGGTAACGAGTGTGAGCGCAGTGGTGAGTGGTTTAGTTTTTTATTTTATTTTTATTTTGTTATTGATTGACGTTCTGAAGGGTACTCCCTCAATGGCCCCTGTCGGAAAAGTGCCCACTGACTGCCAGTGGTGCTTTGCCTCCAGGGCGGAATGTACTTGGGGTAAGGTGGTGGACGGCAAGGTGAGTTTTTCTTTTCTGACTGGTTGATTCATGCTGAATTATCCCATCTTGGAGAAGCACAGCACTTGTGACTCCTGTAGTACCAAGAAGAAGCAGTGTGATCCGATGGGTGAGTCTGGCGTGGTTCCTCAGGGCAAGAAGCGGGTGCGCATGGGAACTCCTTCTCCATGAGGGAAGGGAAAGCAGAGGCAGGTGAGCCCAAGTCCGATGGGGTGCACATCCTCTGGGCAGGGCACCATGCCTGGCGAGGACAAGGAGGAGTACCAATACGACAACCAGGCCTTGGTACAAGTTGCCAACAATATTGTCCTCGAGTTGAGTCGGACCAATGCATTCCTGGAGTGGAGCATCCTGATGTTGGAGCAGAGCGTGTGGGTGGTTGAGGGGAGTTGAGCTGCGATGGAGTGGGGAGTTTCCACCATGGAGAAATTTATGGAGGGGCAGGGGCACTTGCAGGCGCTGCTCCTGAGACACTTCAATTCCACAAGCAAGGGGAGCGGGAGCTGCAGGGGTGACTTTGGCGCAGAGAGTGCAGAGGAGGCAGTGGGATTGGACATGGAGATCCAGGAGATGTGGGAGTGGAAGCAGAAGCGGCTGTAACTCTAACATGAAGGCGGAGTAATTGTCCATCCAGTTTGGGCAGTCTCTGGGGGAGTTGGAAAGAAGGTCAGGCTCAAACCATTCCAAGGCCATGCCCTTGAGGTAAGACTGAACAAAGGTGACCTTTGTTTGGTCAGAGCAGTAAGCGTGGGGGTGGCTCTGGAAGTTGAGCTTGCACTGGACAAGGAAGGTGCGGAGCTGTCGAATGTATCGGGCTTGCAAACCCTTGACTTGGATTCCTCGGGGGCAGAGCGGCATTGAGAGCTGCGGGTGAGGTTGTTTATTGCCTGCAAAAGGCAGAGGAAAATGAGGTCGCGGGCATCATTGCCCTGGTACTCACCGTCATTGGAGCCCCCTGAGGGTTCGTCATCTGGTTCTCCTCCTTCATTGTCTGATGGGGGACTGCCTGGACTGCCAGGGCCTCCTGAGCTGCTGGGGCCTCCAGACCCGACAGACCCACCTGAACCTCCTGGCACTCTAGGGGTGTTTGGGGTCTGGTTGCAGTCATCTGCTGTGGATTGATTGTCGGAGACGTGAGTGTGGGTGGGAGTGCTGGGGTGTGGGTGGTTGATGAGGTCAGAATAGCTCCAGGCGGAGCCATGTGTACTGGCAGTACGGCAGTGGGAAAAACTGGTGAAGGTAGTGACAATGTCGGAAGGACTTCACCTCGAGGGCAGGAGTCCTGCATCACGGAGGGAATTCTGGGTGGTGCGGCCCGGTGGTGGTTGTCATGTCAGACATATGTTTTGTTATTGGGGATAGGGGTTATTTCTTATTAGTATACTTCGGCTAAGAGGAAGTCTTAATATACTGTTAGAGACTGTGCTCAGACGGAGAAGCAGAGGGGTCAGGGCTTGGCTTCAGCTCTTGTGCTGCACCCTTAGCCAAGTATGTGCCCCAAATTTGGAGCAGGTCTGATGATAGGACAGGCAGACCACTTTGGTCCGCTTGGTGGGTCGGGGGGTAAGTGTCATATACCTGATCCGACTGCTCTAATATCAATATCCACTCCACTTTCCAATCACCTCCGCTCCACCCATCCTCTGCTCCGTCCGATCATCATCTGCATCCGCTCCTACGTTTCCGCTCAACCGCTCAACCGGTCCCCTTCCATAACATCTCCATTCAACTGGACCTCTTTCCCCTTTTAGATATATACTTTCCCCTTCGGTACATGGACCCTTACTTCCGGATCACCAGTAATTCCTATTACCACTCAATCACTGATCCGACGCGTACATATTGATATCCGCTCCGACTTGTGTCTTCACCTGTGTAAGTACTTACAAATTATATCCTTGGTACATAGCTTTACAACATAGTTATCCTGGTCACTGCCTCATACATAGAAGTATATAACATATCATGTACTTAGATATTTTCCTCAGTCTTAATATTACTTGTCTTCTCACAGTTACCTCCTGTGAGAATTCTCAGTAGGACCTTGCCTCCTCTAGACACAAGTCTCAACTTGTTGTCACCTCCGACCCTCTGACCCTCCACTCTAACTTAGAGCCGTGCTCTAAGTGCTCCCCTCAATTCTCTGCCCCTACCAATATTCCCCTTATCCCTCTCCCCATCCTCCGCATTATCCTCCGCCTTCCCTGCTCCTACCAAACCTTCCCCCTACTCCTATCCACCCTCCGTATCACTCCCCGCCTTCTCTGCTCCGCTCCTAGTCAGCTCGCCGCTAGTAGCTCTTACTTCCCGACCCTCAAAGCAGACCAAAGTGGACCACTTGTCCTATCGTCGGACAGCGTCGGACCTGCTCCAAATTCAGGGCACATACTCAGCTAAGGGCGCAGCACAAGAGCTGAAGCCAAGCCCAGACCCCTCTGCCTCCTGAGCCGGCATGGTACCTAACAACACTCAATGGTAATGGATGGGCCAATGTAGCCACTATGTGTAAGGGATTTGATAGAGATAGGAGGGCCAAGATATTTGAATGATGTAGACTAGTGGGCTGATGGATCTGTAGATTATACAAATGGATGGGCCAATAGAACTGTCGATTATATAAACAGAACAGCTGATGGAACTGTAGATTATACCAATGAATGGGCTGATAGAACTGTCAATTGTGTGGACGGATGGGCCAATGAAACTGTCAATCATATAGACAGATGAGCTGATGAAACTGTAGATTGTGTGCACAGATGGGCCGATGGAAGTGTAGATTGTATACACAGATGGGCTGATGGAACTGTAGATTATATAGATGGATGGGCCGGTGAGAGTGTAAATTGTATACAAGGATGGGCCCATGGAATTGTAGATTGTGTACATGGATGGGCCCATGGAACTTTAGATTATATAGATGGACAGGCCAATGGACCTGTGGATTATATAGATGGATGGGCCAGTGAAACTGCAAATTGTATCCACAGATGGGCTGATGAAGCTTTAAATTATATAAATGGATGGGCCCACGGAACTGCACATTTTATAGACGGATGGGCTGATGGAAGTGTTGAGTGTATAGACCAATGGGCTACAATATGGTACTTGGTGCTCAGTAGTTAGGACTGAGTGGTTAGTGGTGCATGATCATGACCTGGGACCTGGGACTGACTTGGGACTCAGGACTGACTTGCTGTGGGGTGCTCAGTGCTTGATACTCAATGCTCACTACCTGATCCACAGGACCCAGTGCTCAAAATTTGGTCCTTGGTTCTCCATACTGAAATTTTACTACCTGATGCTTGGCACTCAATGCTCAATACTGGGTGGTTGATATTTGATATGTGACACTCAATATTGTGTGCTTGGTGCTCAATCGCTTCTGTGGAGGGATGGGATTCATGAATATACTAATGACCTGGCCTGTTAGATGTTTCACCAAATGGAATCTTTACTGAATCCATCATGGCCCATCCACATGAAGGAACACCTGCATAAATATGGACAGAATCCCACATATACCATGCCCAAGCAACCCGATCCCCTGCTACTTCATGAACTCCAGCTGAAGGCTTGGCATGCTCATGCGAGCATTAGAATAATTCCCCACAGTTGTGAGAATGTCAAACCACTCGGGAGATGATAAGTGGTCTCTATGATATGGGGTTTGCCAATTAGAAATGACAGAGAGGGTATTGAAGATGGAGGCCCAGAGCTTGAGGGTCTCTGACATGTTCGGAAGATTCTTGGTTTCAGCTGACTCACTGAGGCTTGAAAAGGCTTGCATGCCTGCCCAGTACTGTCGAGGATGCATGACCCTGAGTGCAGCTGATGCAATAGCTGCCAGCCTCACAATAGCTTTGAGAATTTCCTCGGAGTGTGGACCCTTCAATGATGCGGATACCTCTGGGTCTGAGATGGTCTACAGGATTGGTGAATTTAAATACTGAAGAACATCGGCATGTCATTGCATCACACCTCATGCCCCTGTTGAAACCAAGTTGGGGATATATTGATGCATATGGCAGTGATGTCACCATTCCTGGAGCCTTCACCGAACCACTCTTCATTAGTCCACCAACTGCCAGCGACTTTTACAATCTTTTTGAGTGTGGGAGTCAGCAATTGGGTGGCCTTCCAAATTTCTTCCTGTAATATATTCAGTATCCTGTAACCATTGGGCAATAAGGGAGACAAAATGCCTGGGTTGTGTCAGTCAGTGCACCTGGGAGATACCATATGAGGATAGCACCGGTGACGTCAAGGACTGTGGTGGGTACGTCGATGAACATAGTACCCTCATTGCCAGGAGGAGACCTGTCAAGCAACATCTTCTCTCTCTCTTCATTATGTCCAGTGTCCTTCGGGGATATCAATTTGCTGTATCTCACAATATTAATCTGCATCTGAACTGTGATCAAGGCATTTAAATGATCAAATGGAAGATCCAAATTGGCATTCCGACTCACTGGGATTGTGATATGCTTTGATGAGGCAATCAACCAATCAATCACAATCCATCACCAGATCTGTGTCTAGGTGAGGAGAAGGTATGACCAGGTCCCCTCCTGTCTTGTCCACATTGAATTTCTGTTCTGTATATTCACTCGCCTCATGAGCGACAGTAAGGGCCCAAGCAATCCAGAAGGATATCTCAATCTTGGAGTCTGAGGACACATTCATGGTGGAGGGATGTATTTGATGGTGGGAAACCCAATGGTGAGTACTGGATGATGGCAACACTTCGGTGTTAAGGCGGATGTCAGATGTGGCTGGTCAGAGATTGTGAGGATCAGATAGGGTGGACATGATGCATCATCTTGGGATGGAGGACTGAGGACCAAATACCAGTGTATCAAGTATTGAATTGGGACCGAGTACCATGTATTCAGTGGGTACTGAGTACCAAGGCATCAGGACCGAGTATTCAGTATCTCAGTGCTGGATACTGAGCAGGGACCGACTGCCGACTACCGAGCACAAAGGATTGACAGATGAGCTGTCAGGATTGACTACCAAATACTGAGCACCGGGTACCAAGCACCGAGTATTGAGCACGTGGACATTTGGTGTCCTGACCACCTAGGACCATGGGCCATTGGTGCTCGGTGCTCAGTGAACCCCACTGAAGGCTCAGTCCTACATGCGAAAGTATCTACAGGATATACATATTGACGTGGGTCCTTGGTGCCCACACCATCTGCTGGATACAGTAATTCTGTACATTTGAAAGTGTCTACAGTATATACATATTGACATGCTCATAATCAACCCTGCATTTCAGTGTTGCACACCTCCCTGGCTTTCTGCAATCAGGTCAGCATACCAGTGTATAATTTGATCTCACCCATCTTATCTCGGATGCCCTCCCGCTGCTCCTCGATCAATGTCAGCAAGCATTCTCAAATCCACCAAAGTCCCATCAGCGATGGAACTGAGGTTTGATCCACCCTCTTGGGAAGAATCAGACCATCATCCTTAACACCACCCTGGATGTCTTGAGTCATCAACTGTCACAGAAATTGTACTCGGTGCTTACCAGCCAATGCTCATAGTGAAATCCACAGCACTCCATCACCCTGTTCCATCGCCATGGTTCGGTCGGAATTGTGGTTTGCTGCATCCACCATGGAGTGTCATAGTTGGATATGATGTGTGAGGGATCGCCGGGATCTGTGCAATCATGAAGCCAAGCAAGGTGGTCTACAAAGACATAGTCCAGAACCTTGGTCCAGGTTTGCTGGGGAATCAACAGCAGCATATGAGCCACCAGGATCGGCATAACTGAGATGATGTTCCAAGCAGCTGAGTAATGCAGGATCGGGGTCACAAAGGTCTGTGGGTGATGTCAGCAAAGACTACAATGTAGCCACCATTGACTTACCAAGATCTCCCACTGAAGCCTGGTTTTGAAATCAGCAATTCAAGAGGAAGACAAGTCCATGTCAGCTGCCTCCCTCTGACATTGAGCTATGCAGGCTCGGATGCGGGATGCAGCCATCTACAATGTTGCTGCAATATCTGCTGTGCTGAGACTGATCGGATGATATTCAAGATGTTGAAGATCACTGGGAGGAGATGATGCAGAAGTTTGATGTGAGTCAGGCATGTTTAATGGAACAGTAGATCAATGGAAATGAGTATAAAAGTTGTTCAGGGAGTAGAAATATGAGTGTCAATGATAATGACAGTGGATCAGGGTGTAGATGTATGAGCAGCTGATCAATGGATGTCATTTTGAAACTCCGACATCATTCCCATGACACAACCAAACGCCAAGCCACACAATGATTCACATTGTCCAGAGGGATGCTGGACATCCTTGGGGGTCAATATTTATTCATCTGCGGTATCTATTGGCATCTTTGTAAGATCCTGAAAAGCGGCCTGTGCATCCTGTGCAAGTAATGAGACCATTCGAGATTGTCTTGCCACATAACATGTATGACCCCAAAGCTGGTTCTCCAATGACTCCCTCATATGTTTATCCCATTGAGCTGCTTTTTGCAGGAAGAAGTTGTATGTCCAGTCCATCTCCCATTCCACCACTGTAAGTTCTTCAATCCATCAATCCCTCAGGGCCTTTGCCTGAAGCAAATGAACTCAGTAAACTTCAGATTGGTTGGGTCAAATTATCATTGCATTTGGAATGGATACCCAAACTCACATTCGTCATTCCATGACTCACTTGGCCCTGATAAATCAATGTCAAGAGACCAGAACCAGGCGAGGGACTCATTCTGCTGACCTTGGGCATTTGGATCACTGACTGCAGTGCTCACTTTCAACTGCTCCTGCAGGAGGGGCTGGTACTTTTGAAGCTGGAGTTGCCCTGGGCCAAGCTTCACCATCTGCTTCCGTGTCTTGTTGTATATACTCGCATTCAGAGACACAGCCTGCTCCACCGACATCACCTGGGACCATGCCCGAGTCTTCAGAGCTTGGAACTTCACCTGCCTAACAGTGGTTCGGAAAAGGACCACCTTGTTGCACAAGTGAATTCAGAGATTGTGAAGGGTATTGTTGGCTTGTCCTTCATGAAGCGACATCTCTAGTGGAATCAGATCATCTGCTGAGCAGCTTCTGAGTCAGTCGACCCCAACATTGGATGGCAATGGGATGACAGTAAGTTCAGGGGTGTTTTGGTGGGCATCAAATGTCTTGGTGAAATCCTCTGGATCATCATCGAGATTGTCGAGAATTTCCGGATCCAAGTCACCGTTAGGCAGGCGAAGTCCCAAGCTCTGAATACTTGGACATGGTCCCAGGTGATGTTGGTTCAGCAGGCCATGTCTCTGAATGCCAGTATATACAACAGGACACGGAAGCAAATGATGAAACTGGGTCCAGGGCAGCACCAGCTTCAGAAATACCAACCTCTGCTCTGAGAACAGCTCAAGATCAGCACTGCAGTTGGTGATCCAAATGCCCGAGGTCAGTGGAACGAGTCCCTTGCCTAGTTTTGGTCTCTCGACATTGATCCATTGGGGCCGAGTGAGTCATGGAATGAAGAATGTGAGTTCAGGCATCCTTTCCAAATGCAGGGATGATCTGACGCAACTGATGTGAAGTTTACTGAGTTCATTGGCTTCGGGTGAAGGCCCTGAGGGATCGATGGATTGAAGAACTTATGGTAGTGGAACTGGAGATGGACTGGACATGCAACTTCTTCTTGTGCAAAGCAACCCAATGGGATGAACATATGAGGGAGTCATCGGTGAACCAGCTTCAGGCTCATGCCTGCTACATGGCAAGACAATCCTGAATGTACTCAATACTTGCACAGGATGTGTGGGCTGCTTTTCAGGATCTTACAATGATGCCAATAGATCCTGAAGATGACTGAATATTGACCACCACGGATTTCCAGCATACATCCTGACAATGTGAATTATTGTGTGGCCCAGTGTTTGGTTGTGTCACAGGAATGATGGTGGAGTTTGAAAATGTCATTCATCCATCAGCTGCCCATATATCTACACCCTGAACTACTGTTATTCTAATTTCCATTGTACTACTCTTTCATTGGACATGCCAGACTCACATCCAAGTGGTACATCGACTTCTGCCAGTCATGATAGAGATCTTCCATATCAACTGATCACTCTCAGTGCCACAGACATTGCAGCTACATTGGTGATGGCTGCATCACACATCCGAGCATGCATAGCTCAATATCAGAAAGAGGCAGTGTCATATACCTGATCCGACCGCTCCGATATTGATATCCACTCCACTTTCCGACCCCTCTGCCCCATTCATCCTCCACTCCGTCCTATCACAAATCCACATTCCGCCCTACGCTTCCGCTCAACCGGTCCCCTTCCATAACCTCTCCATTCAACTGGAGCTCTTTCCCCTTTTAGATATATGCCTTCCCTATTGGTACATAGACCCTTACTTCCGGATCACTGGGAATTCCTATTACCACTCAATCACTGATCCGACGTGTACATATTGATATCCGCCCTGACTTATGTCTTCGCCCATGTAAAATACTTACAAACTATATCCTTGGTACATAGCCTTACTGCATAGTTATCCTGATCACTGCCTCATACATAGTAGTATATAACATATCATGTACTTGGATATTTTTCCTCAGTCTTAATATTACTTGTCTTCTCACAGTTATATCCTGTGAGAATTCTCAGTAGAACCTTGCCTCCTCTGGACACAAGTCTCAACTTGTTGTCACCTCCGACCCTCCGACCCTCCACTCCGACTTAGAGCTGTGCTCTAAGTCTTCCCCTTATTACTCCGCCCCTACCAAAATATCCTCCTTTGCCCCTCCACATTATCCTCCACCTTTCCTGCCCCTACCAACATTCCCCTGCTCCTATCCCCTCTCTGCATCACTCCCCACCTTCTCCGCTCCACTCCTAGTCGGCCCACTGCTAGTAGCTCTTACTCCCCAGCCCTCAGAGCGGACAAAAGCAGTCCAATTGTCCTACCGTCGGACAGCGTCGGACCCACTCCAAATTCAGGGCACGTACTCGGCTAAGGGCGCAGCGCAAGAGCTGAAGCCAAGCCCCGACCCCTCTGCTTCCTGAGTCAGCACGGTATCTAACAGGCAGCTGAAATGGATTTGCCGTCCGCCCACATCACACACTTTAAAACTGGGCTTCAATGGGAGATCTTGGTGAGCACAGTGAATGATGGCTATGTTGTAGTCAATCCTGACATCACCGACAGACCTTTGTGATGTCAGTCCTGCATTACTCAACTGCACACAACATCATTTTGGCCATGCCAATCCCAGTCGCTCATCTGCTGTGCTTGATCTCCCAGTGAACCTGGACTGATGTTCTGGACCATGTTTTTATAGCTCATCTGGCTCGGCTTCAAGATCGTGCAGCTCCCAGCGATCCCTCGCACATCATTCCAGACTATGATACTCTGTGGTGGATGGGGCACACCACAATTCCGAACGAACCTTGGCGATGGAATTGGGTCATGGAGTGTTGTGGATTCCACTATGAGCACTGGCTGGTAAGTACCAAGTACCATTTTAATGACAGTTGATGAATCGAAACATCCAGGGTGGTGTTGAGGATGATGGTCTGATTCTTCCAGAGACGGTGGATCAAACCTCGATCCCATCTCTTATGGGACTTCGGTGGATTCGAGAATGCTTGGTGACATTGATCAAAGAGCAGTGGGAGGGCATCAGAGATAAGATGGGTGAGATACAAATGTACACTGGTATCCTCACCCGATTGCAGCAAGCCAGGGAGGTGTGCAGCAATGGATCACAGGACTAATCGGGATCCATAGGAAGGTTGTATCACTTCAGTACCCCACCATGCATATACCATAGACATATTCACATTTAGAGAGTCACTGAGTCCCACATATGGAGTGAGCACTGAGGACCAACCCGTCAGCACTTCTTACCGAGAGCTGAGAGCCGAGGACTCTGGGTCCTGGATCCCACTCCTCGGTACTGATCACTGGCACTGAATGCCTCAAGAATGAATATCCGACTGCTCGATGCTTGGTGCTTGGCGCTCGGCACTTGTTATGACAGACTCGGGTCTGATGACTCAGTACTCAGTGCTCCATCCATACTGAGTACCGAGTACCAAGGAGATGACTGGCACTGAATGCCTCAAGGATGAATATCCGACTGCTCGGTGCTCGGCACTCGTTACTGCAGACTCGGGCCTGATGACTCAGTACTCAGTGCCTGGTAGTCGGTCCTTGCTCGGCATTTGGTCCATGATCCTGGAGATCCTGGTCCTTGGTATGGAGCATCAACTATGTGATCCAGTGTGAAAATACTCAATTTGTCGGAACTTCATGGTTCTGAATTACCAATCCCTGGTACACCTGGGATACTTGATATTCAGCCATCGGTTGAATCACCGGTACCCAGTGCATCTTTGATACTCAATGTTTGCTATTCGGTCATTGGTGCTTCATACCAAGATCATGCATCATGTTGCCCTATCTGATCCTCGCAATCTCCACCACCCCAGATCTGATATCCCCCTTAAAGCTGAATCATAGGTATCATCTTATACTTGACATCAGATTTCCCACCATCAAATACATCCCTTCATCATGAATGTGTCCCCAGACTCTGAGATTGAGATATCCTTCTGGATCTCTTGGCCCTTGACCATCGCTCATGAGGCGAGTGAATATACAGAACAGAAATTCAATGCGGACAAGATGGGAGGGGATCCGGTCATACCTTCTCCTCACCTAGACACCAATCTTGTGATGGCTTGTGATCAATTGGTTGATTGCCTCATCAAAGCATATCACAATCCCAGTGAGTTGGAATGCCGATTTGGATCTTCCATTGGATTATTTCAATGTCTTGATCACAGTTCAGATGCAGATCAATATTGCAAGATACAGCAAATTGATATCCCAAAGGACACTGGCAATAATGAAGAGAGAGAGAAGAAGCTGCTTGACAGGTGTCCTCCTGGCCATGAGGGTACCAAGTTTGTCGACATGCCTGCCACAGTTCTCGATGTCACCGGTGCCATCATCGTGTGGTATCTCCCAGGTGCACTCACAGACACCACCCAGGTATTTCAGATCCTCCGTCACCCGATGGATCTGGAATACTCAATATACTACAGGAAGAAATTTGGAAGGCCTCACAATTACTGACTCCCACACTCGAAAAAAGTGTGAAAGTCAGTGGCAGCTGGAGGACTAATGAAGAGTGGTTCAGCCAAGGCTCCGGGAATGGTGACATCGCTGCCGGATGCATCAATATATCCCCAACTTGGTTTCAGCAGGGGCATGAGGTTGGATACCATGACATGCCGATGTTCCTTGGTAGTTAAACTCACCAATCCCATAGACTGTCTCAGACCCGGAGGTATCCGCTTCATTGAAGGGTCCACTTTCTGAGGATATCCTCAAGGCTATTGCAAGGCTGGCAGCGATTGCCTCTGCAGCACTCAGGGTCATGCATCCTCGACAGTACTGGGCAGGCATGCGAGCCTTTTCAAGCCTCAGTGAGTCAGCTGAAACCAAGAATCTTCCGAACATGTCAGAGACCCTCAAGCTCTGGGCCTCCATCTTCAATACCCTCTCTGTCATTTCTAATTGGCAAACCCCATATCATAGAGACCACTTATCATCTCCCGAGTGGTTTGACATTCTCACAACTGTGGGGAATTATTCTAATGCTCGCATGAGCATGCCAAGCCTTCAGCTGGAGTTCATGTATGATCCCGGGGTCATGATTGCATTTTCAGGAAGGATAGTGAGGCATGGGGTCCATGAAGTAGCAGGGGATTGGGTTGCTTGGGCATGGTATATGAGGGATTCTGTCCATATTTATGCAGGTGTTCCTTCATGTGGATGGGCCATGATGGATTCGGTAAAGATTCCATTCAGTGAAACAACGCCCAGGGTGGGTCATTAGGATATTCATAAATTCCATACCTCTGACAAAGTGATCGAGCTCTGACTGAATGTTGAGCATTGAATACTTTGGATCAGGTCGTAAGCATTGGGTATTGAGCACTGAGCACCACACGCCGAGTCAGTCCCGGGTTCCGACCACCCATAACCAACCACTCAGGCATGAGTACTGAGCACCGAGTAACATAGTCCTACATCCAGTATCACCGAGTTAATATTTGCCTTCCTAGCTCATCGGTCTATACAATCAATAGTTCTATCGGCCCATCTGTCTATACAATTGGAGTTCCACCAAACTCCACCGATTTCTGTCCTCTGGAATTCCCCGGACTTCCATTGGACTTCCCCTCTGTCCCCCAGAAATTAAGGGCACGTACTCGGGTAAGGGGCACAGCGCACAAGCTGAAGCCGAAGCCCTTTGAGTAGTCTCCCCCTTGAGCACGACCTTAACATATACAATCTACAGGTTGATCGGCCCATCCGTCTATTCAATTGACAGTTCTATTGGCCCATCCATCTATATGATGTACAGTCCCATTGGCCCACTAGTCTACATCATTCAAATATCTCGGCCCTCCCATCTCTATCAAATCCCTTACACATAGTGGCAACATTGGCCCATCCATTACCATTGAGTATTATATACACATTGGCCCACCCATCAATATTGAGGATATTATGACATCAGCCCATGGTCCTCTGGCCCGTTTAATATGGGATATTATGTCCCTCAGTTGGCCCGTCTAACATGGAGTTGTACACTGAATGGGCTCACATTTACCAATACATCAATTTCAGAATATGAAATTGATTGGGCTGCACTAACTATTGCCCATGCAATGGTCAATCCCAGTGAGTGTCCCAAAATATTTTTAACTGTCATGAATTCTAAAGCAGAAGTATAGTCAATGTTGATTGGGATGTGGATCAATATGCTGACAGGGTCAAGTTGTTGCCACCGAATCAGAAAGGCTCAAGAAGTACTTCTCTGAGGCAGTGCTCGGCAAAATTTCGACTCTGGCCACCATTGTAGATAAGCATGGCAGAATCTTGATGGTTTACCTCCCCAATATTTTGTCACCTTCTCATCTAGTACGTTTCTGGATGGGATTTTCCCTCAGGGGCTGATTGATTAATTAGGATTACATTAACAATGCCACCTCAGGCTTACAAAATTCTCTTCTTGATACCCTGCCACCCATTTCAGATCAAAAAAAAGTTGGCAAGATGATGGCTTTGTGGTGCCAGAGGGAGGGGGTGAATTTGGGGCTGGTAGGATTACTGTGTCACCTGCATATATGCAAAGAAAAGAGGTATTGTATTTTCAGTGCTGAATTTTCCCAGTTCTCACTTGGTGATTAGCAATTGATAGATCCTCTTGTAATGTCGGAGTCTTACAACTCAAAGGAGATCCAAAAATGGCTAGGAGCTTTAACAACATCAGAACTTCTATGGAACTCCATTACTGCAGCAGTGGCACCAGAACTTTTTGAATCAGGCTCCTCTGCATTTTCCAAGGTTGTCAAGGAAGTTAGGCAGCAAAACAATAATTTGGCTCCAGTGGATTCTTGGCCCTCTATCTTTTCAGGGTTGGAAATCATTGCCAACCAAACAACCTTCAGCCCCAGAGATCCTGGTGGATCTCCTTCACTTTTTGATCTTCTGGTCAGTTTAGGTCAAAATCATCATGCAACTCTTTCTTTGGCCAACATCCATGCAGAGCTAGACTATTCACCTGGTGCAATGGTCTACATTGCCAGTAGGGTACTGGAGCACTCTGTGGGTCCTTGTTAGGTACCGTGCTGGCTCAAGAGGCAGAGGGGTCGGGGCTTGGCTTCAGCTCTTGCGCTGTGCCCTTAGCCGAGTATGTGCCCCGAATTTGGAGTGGGTCCGACGTTGTCCGACAGTAGGATGAGTGGACCACTTGGGTCCGCTTTGAGGGTCAGGGAGTAAGAGCTGCTAGCGGTGGACCAACTAGGAGTGGAGCGGAGAAGGCAGGGAACAATGTGGAGGGTGGATAGGAGCAGGGGGAATGTTTTGGTGGGAGCGGAGAAGGCGAAGGATAATGCGGAGGATGGAAAAGGGTCAGAGGGGAATATTGAAAGGGGTGGAGAAATAAGGGAGAGACTTAGAGCACAGCTCTAAGTCGGAGCGGAGGGTCGGAGGGTCGGAGGTGACAACAAGTTGAAACTTGTGTCCAGAGGAGGCAAGGTCCTACTGAGAATTCTCACAAGTAGTAACTGTGAGAAGACAAGTAATATTAAGACTAAGGAAAAATATCTAAGTACAGGATATGTTATATACTTCTATGTGTGAGGCAGTGATCAGGATAACTATGTAGTAAAGCTATGTACCAAGGATATAGTTTGTAAGTACTTTACATAGGCGAAGACATAAGTTGGAGCAGATATCAATATGTACGCGTCGGATCAGCGATCGGGCGGTAATAGAAATTACTGGTGATCTGGAAGTGAGGGTCTATGTACCGAAAAGGAAAGCATATACCTAAAAGGGGAAAGAGGTCCAGTTGAATGGAGAGATTATGGAAGGGGACCGGTTTCAGCGGTTCAGCGGACGCGTAGGGTGGAGTGCGGACTTGTGATTGGGCAGAGCGGAGGGGGTCAGAAAGCAGAGTGGATATTGATATGGGAGTGGTCGGATCAGGTATATGACAGTCCTTGGATTAATGGAGAAAGAATTGTGGTTGCCCATTTCATGAAGGATGCTGTGCATGATAGAGTGAAAGTGCCAAGGCCAAGTTTTCCTATGCAGAGGAACTTTTAGAGTTGGTAGGGAGGAAACCCAAACACATGGGTCAGAGAGCCAATAAATTACAAATATAGTTAGGATAGGAACAGGACTGTTTTGGGGTGTGTGGGCGGTGGTGGTGGACTGCCCCAATAATGCCAATGTTCTTGTTGTTTTGTCCCCTTTGACAGACTCTCAATTTCATGATCTCGCAAATCACACCGAGGAATAGAAACAGGGTCAGAGTCCAGCCATCTTCATCTGGAACTCGCCCATCAAAAAGAAAAAGAGGCGCTTATAAATATGCATATCCCTTCAAAAACACGGAGGGGAAAAGATTTGTGGAAAGAAGCTAATGCATCATTTGTCTATGAGGACTCTGATAGTGAGATAGAAGTGGCTTCACCGTCAAAATAAAAGAGGCATCACCATATTGAAGATCATATACTGGTGGAATATGACCAAGAGGTTCATGGTGATTTTTGGATGGAGGCTTGGATGGTATGAAAAGAAAAACAAAAGTGAGTTCATTGAATTTTGAAGTCTCAAGTTTTTTAAAAAAAAATCATGTGCAGACCCAAAATGATTTCCTTCAAGATTACTTGCCTTGGCGCACTGAATATCTTTCAGTGTTATTGGAGTTAGAGCAGCTGGTCAACGATGGGAAATGCAAAGATTGTGGAGAAGGAGAGGGGTTGATCCAGTGTTTGTCTTGCTCAGGAACACATGCTTGGTGTCCTTCTTGTGTTGTTAAAGCTCATCAACACAACCCCTTCCACAACCTTCAACTCTGGAATGGCAGGTTCTACGAGACTACTACCCTGCAGGCTCAAGGGTATACAATGTATCTTGGCCATGGGGGGGGAACCATGCCCCAATATCTCACATCAGCCAGACCCATCTCCCTGGGAAGATCTTGGGGCCATGAAAGATGTGTTTGCACAGGAGGAGGGGGATACAATTAATGACATGCAGTTAGGAGTATCTAACCTAGTCATTGTGCACTCTACTGGTGTTTACTCACACAGTGTATCATGGTGCCAGTGTTCTGGAGCTGAGAAGGCCCAGCATCTCCATCTCATGAAAGCAAGGTTATTTCCTGCCAGTATCACTCGCCCTCAATCTGCTTTCACATTCGATGTCCTGGATAACTTCCTCATAGACACTTTGGAGTGCAAGACTTCAGCCATGAGTTTCTATCAAAAGCTCCATCAGTTCACAAACAATGCATTCCCTGATAAAATACTGGTGAGTAATTTTATATGATTGTGTGCCCTGCTGATAGGACAAAAAGGACTGTTACTGTGAACTTATGCAAGTGTCACATATATGGCGGGATTTGGTTAATAAAAAAAGGTTTGGGTTTGGACATGACATCAAACGATCCCCTGGTCCAAGGGATTTAGCCCTTTATTGCCCAGCATGTCCACAACCTGGAATCAACTTGCCAATGTCTTGGAGATATGACTATGAAGAGTAAGCTGACTTGTAACTATTGCAGTAGTATGTCACTCATTATTGGTCTGTGGTAGGTGGTTAGTTATGCAAAGATATGTGGTCGATGGAAATTTCACAGCACAACATATGAAAATGAAAATTCCGGAAGATGATGTTTCTCTAGCAGATGGAAAGGGATACATGGTAACAGAGGGACCTTATCAAGCTCACATTCATGATTCTGTAGAAGAGAGAGAGGCAAGTGATGATTTTAGATGACCAGTTCCTCCTGACTTATAATATTTTTGAAGAAATCCACTTGCAACAATCATCAGGCAGTGAATGAAGCAAACATCCAAAGAAGCAACCTAAGAGCTACAGGGGTTGGGGCACCAGCATGTGCTAGGCATGGATGCTTTGTTCCTCATGCAGTGGTAGACTTCCAAAAGGGGGAGTGGTTTGTGATTGTTTTGCTATTTCAGACAATGGACTGACCCTGTAGTCAGGCACATGAACATGGACTATTCCATTTGCAATACAGTGAAATATATGCCCGAACATATTGGCAGTGTGCTCATCATCTATGATGTTGCATGTCAGTGGAGTATTCACTTTGCTGAACAGGTGGACCAGAGCTATCATCTGTCCCTTCCTGAGGGGACTGAAATATTATCTGCAATTGGCAAGTTCCATTTGAGCACACATAAGTTTCAATGCTTTCCTAGGTTCAGCCTGAATTTTATAACCAGAGCTGGACATATTGATGGGGAAATATTAGAGATGCTCTGGGCTCCTTTCAACAAGATTTCCCCCACTGCAAGATCCATGTCTTTGGCTCACCGAAAGGAAGTATTGGATGACCATATGTGGGATTCCAATTGGAGCAAGTCCCCTTCATTCTGGTTTCTGTGACTTCGCCTGACATAAAATTGGCAAAAGTCAAGTCATTACTCAAAAAGTATTGTCAAGCCCTACAGGGTGTTAGTGACACTCAGGGTCCATACGAGGAATTAACCAGATCACTTGATTTGGATGATGTTCAGGAGTGGAAAAAGGCAGTCGAAAAAGCAGCTCAGGACCGTGGAGAGCTTCTTGACATCTATCAGCCTAAAATGGATAGGTCTTGTGTTGTGGACATTAATTTTGCCCTGATGGAAAATAATTTAAATCACCCTCTATGGCTGAAATACATCTCAGATTGACTGAAAATGAACTATCTGCTAATGGTAGGACTGGGTCTGTTGCATGGTTGATTGAGGGTATAAATATAGAAAATGCTCAGTAAGATATTTTAACTTTGGGATTGGATTGACTTAAATTGTGTTACTAGAGATGCCTTGAGATTGTCTATAAGGCAGCTGCCCCAGGATCTGACTGCTTCTCAGGGAACTGGAATAGAAGAAAAAAAGGCAAAAGCTCATGGCATGGATTATTAAGTTCTATGAGGCTGCAGAGGTCATGACTAATGATATGGAATTGAAGGGAGGTGAAGGAGCACCACTGGACAACCCTGAACTGTGCCTGGAGGAGGCTGACATATCCAGTATGGAAGATCCAGAGGAAGAGGACTTTTTCAACTTTGAGGGTAATATTGACTCACCTGCAGAAGTCACCGAGATTTGGATGCCATCATGGGCAGCCTCTGGTCACATCATGAATGATGTCATCTTGGCATTACATCAAGAAGAACTCGAGCTTTGAAAGGGTCAAGCAAACGACTGCCTGGAAAAGCTTTGTCAAGCCCTGGGTGATAGATCAGTCGTGTTTCGGGAGAAAATACACTTCAACAAATCAGTCCATCACCAAGGGCACTAGATCTAAAAAGGAACTTCAAAAGATAACTCTCTCCATCAACAGACAGGCGCGAGTTTACAGCCGGGCAAGGGCTGCAATGCTCCACCTAGGGGCTGACTCTGATACAGTGGCAGTGTATCAACCCCTAAAGCCTCAGGACCTAGTGGTGAGCAAAGAAGTCACAGAAGAAAACAGGCATGGGGAGGGTTCAGATAAATTGCTTGGTTTTGGAGGATAACAATGCAGAGGACAGTCAGAAGAATATATGGATGAATGAGTGTAAGTTTTATTGTGATCTGCTTTTTATCAAGTCAATTAGCTTATATTCCCCATTTCCAGTTTATCATGTGAATTGGTTGAAAGTTAAAGCACGGTATGACCATTGGTCAGAAGAACTGAAATTGGTACAACATGAAATGTTTTGGACCATATCCTGGTTTTGGACACAGGAGGAGAGGTGGAGAGTTCAGGCAGATGAAAGCATCAAGAATGGGAATAGGGCATATGCTGAGAGGCGGGCATCTATGTGGGCAGAATTTTCAGCTCAGGGTCTCAAGAATTTTGAAGGAAAATTACATATAACAAGTTGATAGTTCACGAGTTGACATGCTAATGTAATTTTGATCTTCCTGACTTGTAAAAAAAAGTGTGATGTGAGTATTCAGAATGTAAACATGGTGTAAAGGGGCTGGCCGATATGCTTTGGGCTTCTGGCCTAGTAGGCCTGCCCACCTCTGCAGTATGTGGGGGGTGGCTGGCTGGCCTAGGAATGAAATCTTGCTGGGCCAGCCTCCCTTTGCAGCCTGCATAGAGGGGCTGGCTGACATGCTTTGGGCATCTGGCCCAGTGGCCTGCCCACCACTGCAGTATGTGGGGGGGTGGCTGGCCGGCCTAGGAGAGAATTCTTGCTTGTAGGTCCAGCCTCCATCTGCAATCTGCATGTCAGGGCCAGCCAACATACTTTGGGCATCTGGCCCAGTAGGCCTGCCCACCCCTGCAGTATGTGGGGGGTGGCCAGCCAGCCTAGAAGTGAATTCTTGCTTGTAGGGCCAGCCTCCTTTTGCAATCTGCACTAAGGATTCACTCAAACTCATCCATCCAGTATCCTGGATGGGGGTACTCTATGTAAGCAAATAGATATGTTATAAACCGAGTGCACAACCAACTGGAACTTGACTTAGTGTGGTTAGGTGTGATGATAAGGGGTACTCCATAAATGTGTTATAAAATGAGTATATAACCTACTGGAGCTTTACTGAGTGGTTAGGTGAGGATGGGGAGGGGGTGTACTCTATACAAGTAAATAGATGTGTCATAAACTATAAATTAAGCACACAACACACATACTCCAATAAATATCCCTCCAAACTTACTCAAATTTGCTTCAAAATGACAACTTTAAAATCCATGAATGCTATTGTCAAATCTATCTAGAAGTGTCCTAATATTTACTAGCTCTTGTCTCACATGTATGCCAGCAGTATGTCCCTCCATGCAGATCATAAAAGGAGGCTGACCCAGCAAGAATTCACTCCGAGGCTGGCCGGCCACCCCCCCACATACTACAGAGGTGGACAGGCCTGCTGGGCCAGTTGCCCACAGGATGTGTTAAGGTGTGCTCAAGGGAGAGGTCTCAAAGGGCTTGGCTTCAGCTCGTGCGCTGCACCCCTTACCCGATACGTGCCCTTTAATTTCTGGGGACAGAGGGGAAGTTCCAACGGAAGTCTGGGGAGTTCCG